ACAATTAAAATACAACAAATACAAGTATTAGGATCATACTTTAAATATAAATTATGGTTAAGAAAAATATTAGCTCAGCGATTAATCAACACTGATACATTTATGTAATAAAACATTTTTTCTTTTTAATGTGACCACTGTCAGTACCTCATTATTAGTAGGAGGTAAAACCGTCTCCTTTCTAAACACAGGGCTGTTAATTAACCTGTAATTAGCATGAACAACGAGTTCATTAACTTTAGCTTCAGTTGTCAACCATCAACTACCAAACGATCTATTACAGCCAATAATCCCAGAAATCAAACTGCAACGACTCACCGTCCTATTTCAGGTTTTGGGGAAGATTCCGATGACGAATACTAATAAAGTATTCCAGTAAAAACCTGATTACTGGGTATTTCTGGTGTTCTGACTTGAAAGGCCCGATGTGTGGAATTAATTGGCGCTGTTTTCATGTAACATGAGGTTAGAAACGGTTGAAAACAACAGGAAACCATGGACTGGTCATATTATTATACCAGGCTATAATAACTGCAGGACTTCACTGTCTCAGCCCTAATTACAGCCTCTGTGTCTGCACTCGTTAGCACCTCAGATAAATAAGACGCAAACACAGAACAAATACCAAATACACAAAATGTATTTCAGAAACTTCGGTGGCAGAAATGGAATTTATTCGTCGTCTAGTCCTACATGAATCCTGACATCCTGTCCCTGGTTCGTACCAGTCTCCACTGCTACAGCATATGATGTAAATGAGAACTGGTCTCCAGACTCTGGTACATGGACCAAGAGGAGAACCATCTATATCCAGGTGGAGCGCTAATTTGACAAGCAATTAACTCTGGGAACATGTCACCCAGATTTAGCCAAACCTTTAGTAGCAGACTTCTGTCAGCAGGGGTCACCAACATTGATTCTCACCCCCTCTCCTACGCAGGTACAGAAACGTCTGCATGTCCACCCTAAAAATATTCACGAATCTTCCCAAGGTTGTTCTTTCTAATTTTTATTTCTGGTAGCTGCATCTGCGAAACTGTTTTTTTTTTTCAGTGATTCTGCAGTTGTTCCTAACTGAGGCTTAAAACCACGATCAAATAAAACGTAGCGCAGCTCAAGACTCGACAAAGCTCTAATAAATAAAACTGGTCAAAAAACTCTTTTTTGTTTTTTGAATAATTGTCCTTGACAGGTACTCACCTCAGCGAATCAGGAGGGACCTTCATGGACGCCAGGCTGACCTGGGTCAGGCTGAAAGCCGAGCTGAAGAACTGGCGGAAAGTTGGCAAAGAATCTCTGCCTCTTCTGCTAAAGAAGGATAAAGAGCAGAATGATGCAGTGTTAGGAAAAACCTTTAACAACAAAGGGGAAGGAATTACAATCTAATTCTACGCAGCACTCCAGACAGACAGGTGATGAAAGATCAGTGGGAGAATGATGAGAAGAGATAAGACACTGTTTAGGACAAAAGTGCAGGAGACAGAAGGTGGCGTTGTGCTGATAAGAAGTGACAGAGTTCTCCGCAGACAAGAGAAGAAGTGACAGAAGGGGGAAAAGGAGAAGGAGACGAGGGAGAGGATGAAGGAAGATGCTGACATTTAGGTCAGTATTATATCAAGCAAACAGAAAGGAAAAGGTTGGCATTAATTACTGCCTCCAAGTAAAAGACAGCGTTGACCAATTATCCAGCCCATGGTTGGCATGAGCAGAGCGATAGTCTGTCTAGAGAAGAATGCCAGGGAATATTTCTCCGCTGTGTTTATGTGGAACGGCCATTTAAGTCATAATGAATAAGAAAAGGGATGGATGTAATACACTGGTCCACGTCAGGGCAGATAACACGAAACAACAACTGAGAGAGAAGTCTGAAGAGGAAGTTAATTCATTCATCATCTACCGACTAATTCCTGAGGGGCTGAGGGAGAGTTCAGGACCCTGGACAGTTCCACAGTGGATCACAGAGACAACCGTCCATTCACTGTCATATTCACACTGTCTCAACATCATATAAGTGTTTATTTGGTGTCAATTTAGGTTGAATTTATAATGTATTATTGTTATTGGAGGTGTACAGCACTACACCAGAGACGGCGCTCTACGCTGCTGTACAAGTTGCCAGTTGTACCAACTAAAATACATTTTTTTTCACTCATCCTCTGCTGCTCACTCCCATTCAGGACTATTGTGATTATGGTGAGAAATGAATGATTTTCCTGCTGTAAGGCAACAGTATAACCCACTCTTCCATCGTATGAGAAAAAAGACAGAGTAAATGATTATGGGGAACTGCAGGTACACACATACAGTAGATACTCAGTGTTTAAATGAGTCCACAGATCATTAGCCAAAAGGATTTGGTAGCGTTCTGTAATCTCCTCATGTCAGCGGAAATGAAAGACTCCATGCTGTTAATACCACTCTTGTTTAAACCACCAAACGTCAGGCTGGGGTTCACGTTCCCACGTTGACTGATCCTCTCAGATGAACCCCAGGTGGCACTAATTCTCTTAATGAACACTCACTTATCTAAATGAAACAATGTCATTTATTTTCTCCGCAGCTTGGTTCTGTCAAACTGTCGGCTTTACGTCTAAAGGCCCGCGTTTGTTTTGTTCCGTGTGGAGTCAACGTTGGTTTGAATAGTTTACCAACCAAATATAAATCCACGTCATGGCTGAGAGAACGACTCTCTTTCATCTCAGTCACAGCACTGTGACAATTTTACATTTTTACCAACTTCGTTTTCTTCTGATGTTTTTTCGTCAAGTTACAAAGAACCGCGGGTTATAATTTAAGGTGGAGGAAAATTTAAGAAATTTAATCACAAGGACTTCATATCCTTCTGGTAACAAGAAGTATGTGAAGGTCATTTAGTACCGGGTCACAGTGGGACACGGTGAAAAAAAATGCACTTCAGTTTTACTAATTTACTTCATTCCAATCATATCCTCTTCCCTTTTCATAAAAAAGTAATAGGTAATTCAGATTTAATGATCCTCCAATGATGACATGGTATTACTGGTCTGCAGAAACAGCTGATACCAGCAGATGACTAGTCCTTGGTACAAAAAAAAAAGGCTGCTTTAAAAAACATATTTGTCCATCCATCGTCCAGCTGCTATCTAGAATCAGGGGATAAACCACTGTTTCAACTCTGTTTCAACACTCTCAAACTCTGAGCACAAAATTGTACTGAAAACCCAATGAAAAGATGATAAATCCTGCAGTTTTCTAACAACGACAAATTTCCCTTCACACTCTCTCTCTCTCTCTCCTCTGTCTGGCTGCTGGGCCTGTTCTGTCACACGTTTGGCACAGCTGTTGACTAGAAATGAGAGTCATAATGTGACTGGGTGAGAGGTTCATGACTAATCACCACACCTTCCAATCTCAGCTCCACTCTGAGCCTTAAGAGTCTAAACTCTCGTTGCCCTCGTTCACCTGAAACATCGATTTGACTTCACTGTTAAAGTCGAGACACAGACGCTGCGGCCATGTTGGCTCGTTCTTTCACAAATGTACCAAGGACGTTCCAGGTTCTATGTTCTTCATGCACACGAGCAGATCTTCACCTCTTTGGATTTAGCTTTAGCTGCCTTTTATTTATGTTAGAATAATTTTTGTTCATTAAGTTGAGGTCAGCTCACAAATTAGAAACAACAACAACAAATCTTTTCCTCACATTGTAACCAAAGTACACCTGACTGAGTACCGTGTCACAAAACACCAACGTCCCTCGGTGAACTTTAAAATGAGGATGAAGAGGTTAGCCTCCCAGAGGAAGGAAACGAGGGATAAATAAGGTGGAAAATGAGGTTATGAGGAGCATAAAAATGAAAAGGTCACGAGGGAGATGTGAAATAAAAACAGATGAAGACGTTGTAAAAGTGAAGAGGCAGAGCTTCACAGACACATTTTCCGTAACCTGTGATAACCTCAGAGTGGCCGTGACGGGGGCTCGTCTGTGACCCATTCATCATCATTAGCATACAGACTGTCAAACGGCTGGTGTCGCATGAGCAGACAGGGCGTCAGACTAAACACCCTCCAGAGGGCGGTATCAGCAGCTTCCTACCACATGTACATGTGTAACTCTATCTACATGGGCTGCTCATTGTTTCTTCAACACCAGTGTATGTGTGTGAATGTGTGTGAATGTGTGTGTGCGGCGGCAGGAGGACGGGGTCTGAGGTGGCCCCTTCCATATTCATGAGCGGCGGCTGTGAAGCTTCTTATCAGGTGGGTTCAGCTTCATGGCTCCACATTGTCACTGTAACACTGAGGTCGTCTCAGCCCCGTGTGCAGCTGTGACCGGCTGGAGCCAAACTCTGAGCAGGTGGAGGATGGAGGGAAGGAGACGCAAAGAATCAGTGGTGCAGAGAAATGATGACAGATAAAGAGAGAGGACAGAATATAAGAACAGGGGCTCAAAGATAAAGATGAAAAAAGAAGGAATTACAGAAGAAAATCCAACTGGGCCTCGGGTGTAATGTAGGGATTTCACATGTTATTTTACAGATCATTCTGCTCAGCTATTCAAACGATACAAAACGTTTGTTCTTGTTTTTAAGACTCCTTGTTGACCTCTGTTGTATGGAAATGTTCTTGTTTTTGAGACTCCTTGTTGACCTCTGTTGTATGGAATTAACACGACACGAGGACTGCGGGGTTATGGGTAAAAAAATAATGCAACAACAAAATCATGACCAACGGTAAACCTCAACGATCTCAGTGATGACATCATGCTGTGCACCGAGAAGCGAGTCTAACATTGGTCGACCTGGAGGTCAAGGTCACAGCAGTCACACGTGAACGTCGTCCTCCTAATTGACAACCTTGGACTGTTTGAAACCAGATTACTGACATGTGGGAAGAAAAAAAAAGACAAAGAAGTGAAGGGAAGCAATGGAGTGGTACGAAGAATGGTTAAAAAAAAAAGTCCAGTTCAGGCAGGAAGTGGTAAAAAGAGACAAGGAAAGCAGCGATGAGGCAGAAAAGACAAGGAAAACCTCACTGTAATCAACCTCTCAGTTGACTTTGCCCCAAAAAATGTATGTTTTTTTTCTTCAGCTCAAACTCCACCCCGTCTCACCACCCCCTTCACCCCTCCCAGACAAACAGATAACCAGACATCACCCAAACTCAAATCTCCCAGGAAGGAGGGCAATAAAGGAGGAGCCATTAGGCAGAGATGAGGCCGGGGAAAGACCAGAATTGACTCTGAGATTGATGGAGAGCTGGAGATGACATGAAGAAACAGACAGGGAGGAAAAGTGAAGGCGTGGGAGCGTGAAGAATGGAACAACCACCGTCTAAAATTAGCTTCATTTTTCTCCGTTACTCTGTAATGTAATATGCTGAGCAGCCAAAGAGGGGGGGGGCTCAGGGGACGACGACAAGATGAGAGAGAGAGAGAGAGAGAGAGAGAGAGAGAGAGAGAGAGGATGCTTCAGCCTGCTGGATAAGTAAACACACACATGTATGCACGCACCCACACAATGAAACACAAACATTTGCTGGCATGTACACACATGTTAATGACAGACAGTGAACCTGTTAGCAAACAGATACAGATACGTTCACCAAACCAAGATGAGAAAACACCTGCAATACACACACATACACACACACACACGCCAAGGAATACAGCACTCGCTAATCCAGTGGTCCTAATCCAGTCCTAAAACTAACTCTAAGGGTCGTTGAAAAAAACAGTATTCGCCAAAAGAATATCCCCACAAGTCTAGCTGTACCAAGAAAACACACACACACACACACTTCGAGGCAGGGCAGAACAAATGAAGGAAGCAAGTCAAGTGTACACACTGGTTCTGTCAGTGTGGTCCAGGGCCACACACTCATCTACGGTAGAAAATAAACGATGTTTGTTCTGCTCGCAGCCTTCTGACTGGAATCCCTCCAGAACTGTTCGGCTGAGACAGAAAACTGGTGTTGTTTTACCCCGTTGTTGTTGTCGTTGTCGTTGTTGTTGTGTGTTTCGGGTAAAGAAGAGCCCTAATGAAAGTCTTCACACTGGAGATGAACCCTCACCTGTGGGAGAAGGAGTTCCTGGAGAGGTTCAGGTAGGAGAGGTCAGCGCAGCAGCCCCGCAGCAACGCCCCGAACAACTGTCAGGAAAACACACACACACACGGAGACGGTTGAATAAAACAACAGCAGGTCTGACTGTGTTGTACAACATCACCAGGACGTGAGGGCAGCACAGACGCTGATCAACACTGACATCACTGCGGTGCAAACAGGACAAGTAATGAATGAGAAGTAAACGGTATTTACCAAATAAATAATGTGAATAAATGTGGAGTAAACGGTATTAAATAATCAAATACCAAATAAATACCAAATAAATAATGTGAATAAATGTGTTACTGAGTGAAGAAATGACAGCGATGGCTTTAAATGATCTGTTTTTAGTCAAGCAGAAAAATACAAGGCACCGAGCAGATCACAGTTTCAACTAATCTGGGTCAGGTAGATGTGTGTGTGGGTGCGTGTGTGTGTAGATGGGTGAGTGAGAGCTCCAGTACATTTCTATGGTCAATGGAGTATGAAAGTGTTATATGAGTACAGTCCATTAAGCCCAAGCACGGCACTTTCAGTCCTGACAGTGGCTTTATGTGAACAGACTGGTCTTTTATGACCATCTGCTGGACGTCAGCCGTGAGACAGACGGGAGGAAACTGTTTCTGTACGAACATGTGACCAGGACGTTAAACTGTGTCAAGATCATAAACGGAGGAGTTATTGTTTTGGTAGAAGAGCGATGACTAATGTGTGTCGTCCACGACTGCGTCTGACAAGTACAAAGGTCCATGATTTATACATGTTGTATAAACTGTAGACATTTGTATGATTGGATTTCCTCTGCTTTGTCATGGCTCGGTAACACAGACCAAAGGTAAAACCACCCAGAATTACCCAGCACTAAAAAAATATATTCCACATGACACAAAACATGTTAGTGTTTAAAAAAGTCAAATCCATTTTCATTCTGATGTTCTCTGTTTCCAAGGCGATCACTGATCTGGTGATGGTGTGAAAACTGCAGTGTGAATGAAGGTGTTTGTTTCCTCCTCACACAGACCCTCAGGATCGTTAGCATTCATTTAGCTCTTGTAACTTAGTCTTGAATGAAAATGAATAACAAAAATATCCATGTATCCACAGCTGTAACCTCATGTTCGGCTCTTTTACACATGGAATCCTGAATGTGAATCCAATGTAAAACCTCTTTTAGAAGAGAACCCTTCATGCTAAACACCAAATCTAAACAAAGAGAAGGAACTCATGAATCTGAGCTAATTAGACCTCGGTGGACCCCCCAGAAGACCACTCACATATCTCTCCTAATTATTTCAAAGTCCCGCTCTGTTTGAAAGGTTAATGGCTCGGAGCTGCAGCGGCTGAATGAAATATGGCCGACAGTATTTTTCTGAGAGCACACTGGAAGTGCTCCTCCATCAGAGAAGTCCGCTAATTCCTGGTAGCAGCACTGGAAAGGCAATAAGACGTGTAATCGTGTTACAGCTCCGGGCCGTACCAGGAATAAAACTGAATTACTTACAGTTCACCCGTTTGTTCTATGGACTTGACTTGTGTCTGTTAAACGTCATGTTTGGACGGAAAAAATAGAGACACACTGTTGGACTGGAGGGAGCTGCGTCAACTCAGCTTGGCACAGACACAGACAACAGAGTGCAGTACCATGTTTTCAACACCAACTAACATTTAGGGACGCTGTATTACATATTAAAACGCTCTTTCAAAGAGAGAGGGAGGAAGATTAGGTTACGTAAATGTTAAAAAGGTTTTTTTTTTCCATAAATGTCATAAATGTTATATATTGAAAAAAAGTGAGGAAGTTTGGAATCTCTGAAAGAAAACAACCCCGTAAATTATTGAAGTTGAAGAAGTATGTTTTGATAGTATTTTTTAACTTTAAATTAAATTTTTTTTTCTTTAGTCATCTTAGATTTTTGACTTGCTCTAACAGTTATAAATTTAAGAAAACGTAGCTGGAGAGAAATCAAAATATTAAATTAAATGTGACCAGCAGATGGGTCCGTGTACGTGAAATATTGGTTGAAAAAATTAGCTCGAGTAGAAGCAGCAGAATTTCTATGAAATGGATAAGAAAAACTACGAGACGTTAGTTTAATGGAAACAATCAGGAAAAATCCACTTCTGTGTGACGCTGTGATCTATCACCGCAAATGACCAATCGACCGTGATGAAACATCAGCTAAGAATTATAATTCCATCTTGCAGGTAAACACCTTAAAATTCCCTCTGAAGGAATAAGAGGATAATTAAAAAACCCCACTGGGACATGAATCAGCAGCTTCAAACTGCAAACTTTTCTTCTCTAAGACTTTTTAGAAACTGATTCAGTCTCAGCACCTGGCAACAAAAGGACAAAAAAAATGTAGCGACTTTCATTCAAGCGTTTGGTTCAATAGTAAATTTATGGCCTGCATTAAAAGAATGAGAAGATTCACAGTTTCACAGGTGAAAAGTGAAGCCTGACAAGACGACTGCTGCTCCTCAGGGTTTCAGAGTTCGGGGAAGAGAGACGTTAAATGGATCAGGCGTGAAGAGGAGGACGGTGAGGAGAGGATTTCATAAACCACTTTAAGGAAGGACTATTTTGTCAGCTTTACTGTTTACTGGCCAGTTTTCCACTTAGTCTCAGACTGTTTAAACACACGGAGCGAGGCAGAAGTGCCATCGTTGCAGAGTTTAACGGCCGTTTTTCTGCCTGTTTCACACTCACTGACGACTTGTTTCATTTATTACTTCACTTTATTAGTTTCAAACGCTAACTTTTAGCTATATTTCCTATAATGTTTTTATTTTATTTATTTATTTTTTATTCATTTCCTATAATGTTTTTATTTTATTTTTCTATTTTTGTTGCTATATGATTTAGCTAGCTTTAGTTTTTTCTATTTTTGTTGAATGCTATATGATTTAGCTAGCTTTAGTTTTGTTTGTTTTTTTAGATTCTTAATTCTGCTTCATGTTTTCACTATTCATTTAATGTTAATATTTTACCCAGGTCTTTATTATCTGCCCCAAACTGTCCTTGTTAGGACTGTTTATAGCTACCGGAATATCATGCTTTAACTTTATTTTCTTTATGTAAACATTTAACCAGTATTTTTATATATTTCTTTAAATGTTTTAGTTGAATCAGAACTCCTAGTATTAGCTTGATCTTCTACATGATTAAATAATGTTAAACACAAAGCTGTCTAACGGTCCATTAACTGCACAGAGAGGAGAAGAAACTTCCACCGTCACCATCACGGCTGTTATTCATACACTGCATCATCGGATCATTCCAGAAGCTGCTTCCCACTTCTGTTGCCGCAGCCCACTATTAGCATTTAAGCACCACTTAAGACACAGACGCACTGAGAACAACAGAGTCAGTCAAGGTAACACCGTCTTTGGCTGCCGTATGATTTAAATTCAAGGTGGAACACTTGGCCGTCTCTTGGCTTGAATCCCATCCCAGAGACAAGATCAGACGGTGATGAGCGCAAAACAGAGACGGAATGAATACGAACCAAGTCCACGGTGCAGTCCGTCCCAGACAGGTCCAGGTGTACCAGGCAGTTGGGCTGGGCCAGGAACAGGTACAGGTTCTGCAAAGGTGAAAACTATTCATTTTACTTTTATTTATGATCTAGAATACTGGACAGACTCATGACCATTAGAGTATGTGATGTGGGCCATGAAAAATGGGTTGCAGTACACGGAGATTATTTGATTAAAATCAAAATAAAAAAAGTGAGAGTTGAAAAAAGTTTGGGAATTAATTTTGTGAAATGAGGTAACCTTTCTAAATTAGGTACAAAGTAGAATAAATGCAGTATAAATTACAACTGTAATTTCCAAACTATTGACTGCACCTGAATACAAAGCGCACCCAAAAAATAATAATCATATATATTTATGTACATATATTTATGTCCCTCACCGTGGCATCTTCTCCAGACAGAATCCCAGGGTTTTTGCTCAGGTCCAGGTGCAGCAGAGTACTGGAGTAGTCGTCACTGGAACACAGGGCCTGAGACAGTGAAACTACACCTACGGTGAAGAAGAGAGAACCGTCACAACTGAGCTTTTAGGTCATTACATTAACTAAGTCACTAGATGGCAGCATTGCGGGTCATTTTGTTAATCGATTTTAAAAATCAGAGGATTAATATCGGACAACGCTAGATGAGACTTTTGGCAGGACATGATGAAGGTCAGAGGGTTCCATAGCACCAAGAGTGAGTGACGGAGATAATCATAAAGAAAACTATGAGGCTATTAACACACACATCCTCATCAGGACCACAGCTATCTGTTAGCATCTGCTACAATGACAGCGAGAGGCTAAACTGTGTGGGGAAACTGGGACACTGCAGCGCTAATGACTTTGTAGGATATCAAAGAGAAGAAAGATCAACTGCTTCAACTTCTGCCGTGATAATTATTTGAAAGGCGGATCAGACTGTACATGTAGATGTCTCTTTAAATCTCTGTTTAAATGTCAGCCAGGAAAACAGAAGCCTGCAGCCCGTGGCAGCGTGGTGGTGTGTCAAAGCGCCGAACCGAAATAGAAACGACTTCAAACGCACATTTAGGGGAGTCTTTAGAATTAGACACGCCGTTTCTGTCACATTTCTAAAATGTAATTGGACATCTGTGCCGTTTAATGGACGTGTCGTCTCGGTGTCTCAGAGGAAGGTTCTCACCCTTGGAGGACAGGGAGGTCTTGGAGAGGTTGAGGAGGCGGAGTCCTTTGTTGAGGCGACAAACTTGTTGGATCAGGTTGGAGACTCCTGGAGAAGTAGAACAAAAAACAGAGAGGATTGACCTTGTTATTAAAGGAGTGCAGGTTTGAATCCAAACTTACTGACCATTGGCTGGTTCACGGGCCATAGGTTTGAGACCACTGCTCTACAGCAAAGGTTTTTTTATTCAGTCTTATGCAGTAATGACCCGATGATCTGTTCTTTTTCCTCGATTTGGAACTTTTATTTCTCTCAGAGTCTGAAAAGGATTCGGTGAAAAGTTGGTTCTAATTTGACCATTGATGTCGTTTTTTTTTTACCTCCACCTTGTGAGGACAGTGTTAAAGCTGAGTTTTTTTTACCTCCACCTTGTGAGGACAGCAGCTGTTCTGGGGGACACAGTGGGGGTCCTGGTGGTCGGCCCATGTCATATTTACAGTCAGAGATAAAAACCCAGTGTAGAGTAAACTTCTGTGTACTGTACTGTGTACTGTAACCCAGCGGTGAACCAAAGTCAAAATAACATCACACCCACGTACGGTACTAAACAGAGCTGTCGTTCTCCCACATACAGTTCTCCGCTGCACCTGCTGCTGCTGCAGAGACCACGACACAGAACGAGCTGTGAACAACTTCCTGTAGCTAACAACATAAACACTCATTAGGATTAGGAAAACATTCATGTTAATGAAACTATTTATAGGATTTTCAGGTGTTAGTCTCTCGTTTTGTTTAGGATTTTCAGCTATTTTCAGGTGTTAGTCTCTCGTTTTGTAGCTTTAAAAATGTTAGAATTTCATATGAAAATAAACAAGAAGATTTTGTGTGTTGTTTTTTTTTAAAGTGCATATTTTTTTTTTTGTGAAGCACATTTTCTAACTTTAGTCAGTATTTTCACTCACATTCTGACATTTTGTCAGCGTTCTTGGCAGCTTACTGTATTCATACTAACAGATAAACCAATTAACTTGGACAAAAATGCAATTCCTAACATTCTTGAGCGCCACCTCTAAAACATTGGTGCTTTTCAAACACAAAACACACAACTTTAGATTTGAACCCAGCGTCAAGGATGTTTTTACAAGGTCGACACTTTAGATTTTTCTCCATTTTCTCGGTTCTATTTCCTTTAATGAAATGACAAAACGCAGAATTCCTGATGTGAAAAGCACTGAATAGCATCGCATTGTTAGCGCAGCGTTAATCTGGAGCTGAAGGTTGTTCTCTGCTTCAGTTCAAGATTCCACAGGACGTGAATCCTGCCGAGAATTCATCGGTACTACAGTGACACGTGTGAGAAAACAGAATCAACTTCGTACAATAACCAACCATTCATGTGAGGCCTGACCCTGAAATTCAAACACAGAAGCACAAAGAACTCTTTCACTCTTGCATCACTTTCACACTAACAAGAAAAAAGAAAATGTGTCCTGGTCCATTTATAACACCAGCGTGTGTGTGTGAGTGTGTGTAAGGAAAAAACGTAAGAACTTGGATTGAAGAAGTGTGGCAGGCTGTGGGCGAGAACGGTAAAATAATAGCATTTTTCTAAAGAGAAGACGCTGCAGCAAACAGAGGATAAAAAATGTAGAAATGAAAAGAAAGATGAAAAACTGGGTGAAGCCGAGGAACCGGAGTTTAAACAAGGACAGAAAACAGGTAAAAGAATGTACTGGTAACGGTGGAGAACACAGACACCACATCAGTACCTTGGTTGTCCAGCGTGTTGTGAGCCAGGTTCAGAGAGTGGATGGGGGGGGGGGGGGGTTCTGAAAGCGCCGACGCCATCTTCTGGGGAAAGTCTCTGGAGACAAAACAAGTTAAAGGAAAATGTTAGCAATAAAAAAAAATCACATCGTAAATACCACGGCCATCAATCAATTAAAGAAATGATGAAATGAAATTGATTTTAAATTAACGGCAAACTGAAGACACAGTTCTGTCTGTTCTGATTGGACCATCTCATTACTTCAACCAGCATATCTAGCACCACTGCCTAAAATGCAGCCCCAAACTATTACAGAGCATCTGATTTAATGTACGCAAGAATGGTGGAAAATTTCTGCCGTTTCTCCGTCATCTGTCGTAACAAATGTTAACATGATGTAACACATTATTAACAGTCAGGGCTTATTTTCTTTAACACAGGCTGACCTTTAACAGAGCCAGTAGGGGGAGTAAATGCCAAATTTACACGACAGCTTAATGTCCTTTGGATTTGAGACTCTGAGAATAATTATTATAATAACAATAATTTAAAAATAATATATATATATATATAATTTATATTATTACTAATTATTACACTTATTAATAATTAATATAACTCTTTTAAAAGAATGATTGATTTCCATTAAGCCCAGTTTGATTTTGTCACTCTACCTGACAGTTTTTTTCTTCTTCTTCTCCGCTGTGACTTGTATGTTAATGACTTTGTTTATAAGGAGTGACTTTAATGCAGACAAATACACTGTATGGAATTCTCTGTAACTTCTCCTCTGCAGTAAATCATCCTGCCCCAGAGGCAGACCATTCATCTCAATTATTGGTTAAATAAAAAAAAAGCTTTTCTAAATAATGAGAGCGGTGCATAAAAAAATAAGACTTTTTTTTTTTACACAGGTTTCAATGGAGAGTTGAATAAATCTGCCAGAGCCTGACAAGAGAAAGAAGAGAGTGTTTTAGCTTTTCTGCTAGAAATGTCAGAGGTTAGAAGAAGTGAGAGTGAAAGAACAAGGAGGAGAGACAGAATTGGAAAGGTCAGGACAGGAGGAGGAGGAGGTGGGGGGAGGGGGGTGATAGGGTGAGGAAAAAGTGGAGAGGTGCCATAGAAGTGTGAAGGTGGAGAATGAAAAAAAAATAAAGGAGGAAATGTGGGAATAGGTTTGACAGGTGTAGGTGTGAGGGAAAAGGAAGGAAAAGAGGAGGATAATTAAATCAAACAGTCTGGGGGAGTCGGGGTGTGGGGGGAGAGGAGGGGGAGGTTGACAGACATGGGGCTGATTATCAATAATGATGAGTCATGATGGGGCAGGAAGGAGAAGAAACACATCCTACGATTTGAGTCCTGCGTTCTCCAGAGTCAGCTCCTCCAGACTGTTGGATTTGCTGACGGTGTGCAGCACCTGGTCCACCACCTCGGACCCCTGACGGAGAGAGGACAGAGGACAGACAGGGTCTGAGAGCAGGTCTCACCTCGAAGGTTCTCTACAGCTGGACTGTTCTGATTCTAAACCAGCTCTGGGTTTGACCAAGAATAACTCTCATTATCGTCTGCTTCCTGTCCACGACCGGAACAAACACTTCTGGGTCAAATCAGAGGGGTAACGGGTATGGTACCAGGGTGAGGGTGGGGGGTGGGGGGTTTCTTTCCTGCTGTTCACCAGCCCAGATGATGAGTCTGAAATCATGTCAGTGTTTTAATGTCTCCAGATCTGGCAGCACTTTCTGAGTTTTTTTGTTTTTTAATAAATCAGGTCAAGCATCACTATCATTTTTCCCAGCTTATTTGTGCAGAGCAATTACAGGCCACGACCCCTACTTTGGGAACCACTGATCTAAATCCTGTGCAAACGGATTTTGGGGAAAAAAAGAGTAAAACACGGGTCGACTTTTTCAGCTTTAAAAATAACTTCTTCTCCTGTCTGAAAAATCCACCCACCCTCATACACTGACAGCAACGAAAATTAGTGTTTTCAAAAAAATAAATTTGTACTTTTTCTTTCTCATTATCAACAGAATGTGTAAAAAATGTCGTGAGAGTTAACATTTTATAAGAAAAATGTAATAATCCAATTTGATATAGCAGTAAAGAAATCACAGCAACATCATGTTTAAAATAAGATAAAGATGAAGTGATGAAGACTGTAAGAGGCAGAAGAGAAGGTGAAAATAAAACAGATATTTACTATGCGCATGTCTTTGCAGTACAGCTTGGTGAACCAGGTGTTGTAGGCAATGGATGCCACGATGACTGCCAAGTCCCTGGAACACACACACACACACACACAGGAAAACATGTTACAAATTAAATCAAAAGTCTTTAAAATTAGCCAACTCCATCTGCTCAGAACATTTGATGTCACTGATCCATAAATTCACATCATCCTCGGCCAAACTTCTTCTTCTTCTTCTTCTCTGCTGCCCGTTTGGTTTAAAGCAGTTTATCACGGTGACAAAGAGGAGTGTGGGCCGGACTGCTTTCTAAAAGATGACTGATACTGCAGTCACACGGAGGAGGAGGAGGAGGAGGAGGGGGGAGTTAGGAGGGGGGACAGAGTGAGAAAAAAAAAAGAGAGAGATGTAGAGATGGATGCCTGGGTCAGTGGATTATTCAATAAAGCCACAGCCTGATCCTCAACACTGCTTCATCCACTGATACACAGACAGACCGAGGCAGCTGCAGGGGACCAGGTACAAAGTCAAGATGAAAAAAGAAGACACAGGTTTGGAGTTTCAGAATCCTCCCAGGTCCAACTGCAGCCACTCTGCTGCTGCACCTGCAGTACATCAGCAGACAAACAGGCAGCAGCAGCAGCAGCAGAGGAGAGTACGAGCCCAGAGAGGCATTAAAGGAAAAGAGGAGGCGAGAGAGACGACATGAATGAAAGAGTAAGGGTGAATTCTGGCCAGGGCGCCTCCTACTACCAGGAACTGCAGCAGCAAGTTGCTTTTTTCATTACCAGTGCCATCAGTGTGTGTGTGTGTGTGAGCACATGTCCACATTCATCATCACCGCTGCCTCTTGACTCGTGTGCTGACAGCAGGACGTGTAATTGACCTCTGTGATGTCTCACTCCGTCTTGCAGCGTGGCGGTGGAGACGTGTTTGACGCAGCAGGTCAATCTGTCGACGGTTTGATTCTCTATCTCTGATGCAGTGATTCACATGTAGGAAAACATGAGGTCAATGAGGAGGCGGTACCATTAACACTACTGCATTATATACCCTGGAAGAGTGTTTCTCAACATGGAGACCTGGGACCCTTTGGGGTAATCCTTTAAATAAAATAATCCTTTCTTTTGGATTCCAAATTCATATTTGCACACTGCTACCACCCATGTAAACTGTGGGCTAATAAACTGATGTCACCTGATGACTGTGACACATTAGTGACATCACTACTGCGTTAACTGACAAGTTACTGTCAGATGATTGTACTGTATCTGTATCAGATGTACACAGTCCACGTCTAACCAGATATTCCTGAAGTCATTTTACAGAATGCCTGTACAGACTGCACTGCTGGTAGGTAATAAAACAAATCTGTAAATGTAAACACCAACAACAAACAAATCCTTTCTGTGAAGAGAATGTGGGAGGAATGAAACATTCTGATCCAGTGACTACGGAGCTGCCAACAAGCAGACTGCAAACACTGCATAATCTGCACAAAGCCGCAAAGAGTCCGACTCATTTATATTTAATATCTCATTTGTAGGATCCACAAGAATGTGTACCGAGGACTAGCATCATTCTATAAGGTCAAAGGTCAAATTATTTGTTAACGCCGCCACCACAGATTGCCTGGTGGTGAGGACAGGAAGGCAACACATAATGAGTGTGTTCAAAAAGTGCAGGGTTTTCCTTTTCCTTTCTAGATGAAGTCGACAAAAAAGTGAAGCCCCTTCAGAAAACAGGGAACGATTATGCAAGAGAGGAGGGAAAGGAATTGATGAAAAATTCAGGGCTAGAAGATACTTAGAAGTGGAGTGTGAGCAGAGCAGAGAAACTGTTTACTAATGTGAGGTTAGGCCAACATGACAAAATAAAAATAAAATCTTTTATCCACTAATACAACTTAACAAACCATGAACTTATCCTTGACCTAATTCACAGCTGATTGTGCCTGTCTAGCCAGAACATAAAGGTCTAGCCTGAAGGGGTTAATGACGTCGAGTGGGTAAGAATACGAAACGCCTTAAAGGAAGGTCGTAAACCATTCCCAATAAAACCGTCCTCCATAAACAGGCGGCGTCCTCTCAGGACGGTAACCATGCTCAGAAGACTTAACGTAACAATTTGGTCGAAGACAAAGTCTCGAAGAGAGACAGACAGAAGGTCAGCAGAGGTCGACAAGATATGGTATTCTTGCCTTGCGGGTGCAATTAATATTTATGGCAAATACTTGAGCCAGAGAATGAACAAAATCGGGTCGGCATCTAGGCAACACAGCAAAGGTCAAAGGTGAGCGGATTTAATGGGAAAGCGCTCTCTCAAACTGTTAAATATTAATCATTCATTTCCCAGCGACGCCTGCTGTTCACGCCAACCCACTGTTCTCAGGGTGGAAAAGTGAAGCGTGAGATTGTGATTGAGCAACAATCCTGTAAAGACTCAATAATGGGGTTCTTCACAGAACAGGAGTCAGGGGCTGCAGCGGTGACAGGTGGGGCAGATGGCAGCAGTGAGCTGTGGAAATACAGTCCTGCTGCAGGACAGGGAAAAAACACGGGGGAAAAAAAGAGGCAAAGTCACAGAGAAGTTTGACATCCCACCCAGAGTGTGTGTGTGTGTGTGTGTGTGTGTCAGTGTGGAAGCAGTCAGTCCAAAAGGTGCCCTGAAAATGTCTAGGGGCAGCAAAGCATAACAATTTTTCACACAAACGGAATAACAGCACACACACACTCAGTTTCCCAGCTATGAAGGTAACGCTGCATTTCTGGAACCCTGAGCTCCAGTCCTACTAGAGGGAGGAAGTCGAAGATGAAGGAGATCAACAAGATAAGAATAATCACTCCTTTGATTGTGTGACAGAGGATTTACACCTTTTACTTTTCACCACCAAATCTGGGATTTGGGGGACGATGGCATCGAACGTGGAAACTTCTACATAGCTGCTCTGAAAAACCCACTTTAACCTCGGCTAAAATACTGTTTAACCAGACATAAAGTCCTGTTTTTTCCTCCTTCTCCCTAGTCCAAAGTTGTGGACACCCAACTCCCGTCCATGTGGTGGATATGAACCCCGACCCTCACCCCATCTACTCAGGTTTTTCTTTTTTTTTATTGTTAAACAGTGTTGTTTGTGGCTGAAAGGCTTCTTCATAACAGAGGGGGAAATAAAACCCAGGACAGTGAAGAGGAAGTGGATAACAGAGCCGCAGGACAGTGACAGAGATAAACAGTGTCATGTTTCAGTCCAGCAGAGTGATGGGAGACACTGTTTGGACAGACAGCAGTCAGCAGAAAAATAACTGTCCTGTCACTCACGGTAACGAAAGACGCGGCAAAAGATGGAAGATGGAAGAGGACGGGAATGTGATGGGATGAAGTTTGCTGGACCGCAAGCATCATCTGTCACCTGAGGTCACATGACGTCCAAAGTTTAATTTCTGCACGTTTTTCTACTCATTTGTTTCCTTCACAGTTCGATCTTTGATCTTCTTCACTGTGACATCAGTCGGTCCAGAAAATCAGAAAGAATGACTGAGCTGGTTTTTGTACTAAACTTAAAAAAAACACAGGAAGCCAAACGTCTTTCACGCTCCCTATAAAATATCAGAGGAAAAACAACAGCGATGCAGTGATTTTTGCTCTCAATATACCACATTAATGTATTCATGAGTTGCCGCCGCAATCACACGTCCATGAATGGGCTTTTGATTTACCAGCGCTGCAATGCTCTGCGGCTGTGATGAGACGTATCTTTTCAAGTGTGAATGTATCCTCTCCAGTCAGGATTGTCGCTGCTGCACAAGGAAGTAGAAATATCGCACAGGCCCCAGGGCTCCCGAGGACACGACCGTCCCCAAAAAAAATCGAACAAAGAAAGCCGGGCTGAATTCTCTATCTGCACGTCAGGCTCACAAGTCTTTTTTATGATCGGCATCACTCAAGTGACACATGTGCTGCTCCTCAGTATGTTTGAAAAGGGAAACAGGAGACTAGGAAGGATAACAGCAGGAAGGAAGAGGAGAAGACATATGGCATCGTACAGCTGTTTACGAGCCCTGGAATCTGCCTGACAAGAAAATGCTTCCACGTCTCTGTGATCTTTCCCAAAGTTTAACAGAGCGGAACAGAAAGTAAATCAGAAGGAGAGTGAAGACCCGAAAACTGTGAGTTTACAAACGTGGTTATTTGTCAATAGACTCAACTAATGCCACCTAAGACAACTACGGCCTCGGCCACGGAGGAGATACGTCACCAAATAAGTAACCAGTTTGAAATATCTGTTAGCATTCACCCGGCTAACAAGTCACCTCCTCAACCAGAAGAGGGCAGAGTAGATGTCATTCATCAACATAACCACAACACCATGTTCTACCTCAGCCCAAATAGTCCTCCTCCTTACTGTGTGCAGTCGTACATCGATGCCTTTATGCCAGTACGTTGTTCAATCTCCTCCTCCTTACTGTGTGCAGTCATACATCGACTCATGCCTTTATGCCAGTACGTTGTTCAATACCTTTGGGACAAGTGGCAGCAGAAGCGGCAGAAGCCTGGCATTACAGTAAGACAGTGGTTAACCAGAGAGGATAACCTTATAAAATAATAAGTGTTGAAAAAGTTCAAATACCACAGGTTTGTTTTTTTACGTCTGCAGAGAAAAATATTTCCTCAGAAAGACTGTGGTATGAAGAAAGGAGCATTTAATAATGCAACAGGAAACCAAGTCTGAACAGAGACCAGGACCAGGACCAGGACCAGGACTTGATAAGACTTACTACCTGGACAATTAAAGTGATGTAGAAGCTGTCGAAGTCCTGGAACGTGATGCGTTTACACTTGTGCAAACTCATCAGAAATTATAATGAACTAAATCTAAATAATTGGTGGAGTCAGTCACCCAGCTGTGTCAGGGGGCAACAAAAAGACCCCACACCAAATAAAGGGAATAAAGTGCACGTCAAACCTCTGCTGGTGTCAACTGGTATATTAACAGTGACAGAACTGATAAATATCTGATATAATGAGTCTGGGTCCAATTACCTGCTGCCCCTTAAATGCCTCCCTCCCTCCCCACACACCCCCACCCTGGAGGTGATGTAAACAGCTACAAATTAACACTGAGGTTATAACCCTGTTGCCTCTGTTTCATTATAAACTCAATGTATTGGAGAAACAATCTACACACACACACACACACTGAACTGCTGAAGTTTGTGGTTTGTAGTTAATTGCATTTTGTCAAAAACTTAATGTGTTGTTATCACACTGTGTGTGTGTGTGTGTGTGTGTGTGTGTGTTGACATGACAGGAAACTGTGTCACCTGCTGTCAAGGTGGCTGAAATCCAGTAGGTTGAATTCCCTGTTGTCCTGAGAGTGGTAGATAGTGTCAACATCCTGGAGGAAGAGGGAGAGACACAGAGACACAGAGAGAGAGAGAGAGAGAGGGATTAGAAAGAAATCGGTAACTGTGCATGAGAAATAAGAAAGAAAAGTTGGTAAAATTCCCCAAAATATTCTGTTCATTTTTGTTGATTTTCTTTGGCTGTAAAATATTTTTTTGGTGCTTGAAATTAGATATTTAATATGCAAGGAAATAAGTTTTTTTTAAATTAAATTAAATTAAATGTAACTGTTGAGCCATAGTTTTTTTTTTTTTAATTAAATTAAATGTAACTGTTGAGCCAGCTTCATTCTCACCCACTGGACTTCTTCTTTGCAGCCGATCCCGTTGTAGTCACAGAGAGCCTCGTAAGTCTCAGAGAAACCTCCTGAAACAAGACGATTCATGAGGTGAAAGGTCAAACAGCAAGGGTATTTATGAAGGTACAGACTTTACAGAACAGGAAGTCAGAGACAGGGATGGTCGAACGGAGAGTGAGTTTGAGATTAACAGGACTGTGACACTTAAATTAGACCTGGTCCGACTCTGGTCCACTGATCCACATTCAGATGAGGTGAATCAAAAAGACTGAAGTCGTCAACGGTGCATGTGGGTGTCCACTGAACATTATTTTTTTCATGCACCCGTGTGTGTGTGTGTCTGTGTGTGTCAGGAGGCAGCAGACTGACCACAGGTCTTCTGGGCCTCCAGCGACAGTTCAGACGTTGGTGAAAACTTTTGGTTTCCTTCGGCCTCGTCTCCCTCGGCTCGACAGATTGGAGGGCTGAAAGAACAGGAAGTCAGACAGGATAGGTCGGCTGTGGTGATTAAAGCTGATTACACTGCAGATTCACCGATTATTCCATCATCTGACACATTCATAAATTAACTCCTTATACGAGGACTTTCTCTTTTGAGCAGTGTAGGCAAATTTAGACACATTCAAAACGATGAGTCAAAGCTGGACTTCAGCCCAAGAATAAAAATACTGATGTCACACATCAGGCAGCAAGCGACACACAGTGGTCTCAGACAAAGACCCCGCTCTGTCAAACTGAATAATGGGGTCACCAAAGTCATTAAGGTTCTATCCTGAGGCCACCACAACTGTCTGTACAAATACGTAAAGCAATTTATCCAAAGGCTGTTCAGATGGTGGTGTCGTGTTGCCGTCCCCTGGGCCAAACGCTCGTTAACCATCTTGGGTGAGCCGTTTTCAAATGCTTGCCTTGATGAGTCTGGATCAGAGTGACTCTGGCTGTAATTACATTTTTGTTAAAAAAAAAAAGAAAAGAAGAAAAATCTAATGATAAATATTAAGCTTTCTCTTCCGACTTCTCCCTGAGCTGCATTGCCCTTGAGCAAGACACTAAACTCTCTGCAGCTTAAGTGAAGCACTCCAACACCCCTGAGACGGTGCACTGATACAACAGCGCTCCCAGGTATGACTGATGAAATAACTGCAACCATCCCTCCCTCCCTGCACTCAGCCTGCCAGCTACTGTTCTGAATAAAAACACCTTCTCAGACAACGCTGTCACGGACGCGCTCCACAGGAAGGAAGTGACTTTTTCTTTCATTACAGCCAAAATGGGAATTTAAAGGTCTGTGATGTTGACTGTGTTTGTGACACTGCTGTCGGAGCAGATACTGTACTGTCTGCTAGTTTCTACACTGCCTGGTAAACATCTGTGACACAAGGCCAGGAGTGCTGGAGTCTCAGGAGGACATAGGCAGTAACAGCAGGGGGCAGTGTTGGAGGGGACGCTGTTCTGTTTCATCTACTTCTCTTTTTTTTCTCTTAAAGTTAGAGTTAAAGTTATTATCCTGAGAGCAAAGCTGGGTAAAAACTGATGACAGCGTTTGTAACGTGAAGAAAGAAGCCGTCATTTCCCTGATAATTACAGAGACAGAAACCTTTCTTTCCACCAGGATTGGTTCAGTTTATATAATGACAGCATCTAGAAAGTAAATAAAAAAGAATTCACTCCATAATCACAAAGTCATCAACATTTATGCAGATGACACTGCGTCGGACTTCTTCAGCTTTTTGATAGGATTACAAAGCAACACATTCCAATCATCACTGTACTGCCCCCCCCCTTGTCCCGCCCTAATCCTATTTGTCAACGAATGACAGGAGACACCTGACCATGTCCATGACCTTAATCCTTGTCTCATCTCAACAAACAGCCGACGTCCCTGATGTGTAAACACACGGTATGTGTGTGTGTCCCTGTTATCTTCACCCTGTCGCCACTGTGTAGGTTCCTTTCCCAGCGGCTCCAATCAGTTCTGAGGCCTTGTGATCCAACCTACAACAACATCTCTTTCTGTGTTTCCCTCTCTTCTTTATTCTGCCTTAAATGTTCTCAGCAGAAGCAATTCTCCAGCCGCCGCTCTAATGGAAAAAAGCCATTCTGAGAGATGATAGAGTGTGGAGATAACCGAGCGCAGGTCAATGGACGGAGGAGAATCAATGGCACTGCAGATGAGGGAATACACACTGTACATTCACTGGGGCTGGGGCAGCATAATGTACGGGTTGGGGGGATTCAGACTGGAGGAGTGAATTTATCCCCCTGCTGGTTTCATACCAGTAATGACTGCTTTCACTCCATAAACTCCATAATCTTCAGTGGTGGTTCAGGGAGTGAAAGCAGTATGGCTAGCTAGCTAAATATAAATATATACTGTATATAAAAACTACCCACTACACACAGACTGCTGTCATGTAGCGGCCCACTCAGTGTCAGACGGCTGATTCAACCCCAGCAATTGTTGGGCGTTAATCTCAGCTGTGACTCAGACGTTGTTTGGACAGAAGCTGGAGCGGCATAAGAATACATGAAGTGCTGGCCTCCAAAGTGGAGTTGCCAGATCTGCTCTGCACTGCCAGGTCCTGTTACTGTCAACAAGCTCCTCCACCACACAGTCCAACACACACACACCCAAAGACTTGACAACTGGCTGCAGGCAAAGATGCCCAGTGATGCTTACGCATAAATGGAGTTGTTGAAGATCCTGAAGAGAGCGTAGTTGATGTGGCTGACCATGTGATCCAGCTGGTCCTGGTTCTGAAGTCTCAGGGAGAAGGTGGTCTTATCTGTATCGATGATCACCTGTGGCACAAGGACATGAGTTTGAACCGTCGTCACAGCCGAGGACGACGCGTCAGTAAAGACATCGGTCTTACCTGGTGTTCTGTGTAGGTGTTCATCGCTCGGATCTCCAGGAAGTTGAAGGTGACCTCCACCTGAGGTCAGCAGAAAGACAACAGTTCATCTGTTACACAGGTCCGACAACAAGATTATAACCACCGAGGTTCTTACTGACTTTTCAAGGTATTTTCTGCCAACAATGAGGTTTGTAATGTGCTTTAAAATGTGTTTTTTTTTTTTCAAATTAAATGAAGAAACAATAATGAGGTAATATTCCATTTTTTTTTTTTTGGAAAACTCTAATAGCGTATCTTTTTTAAAAGACTCATTACCTCTCAGTAGTAGAACTAATTTGAAACTATTTATTAAAAAAGCAGCGTATTCTTATCTTTCAATGAAATGATTTTCACTACAGTCGTTATCTTCCTTCTGTAACTCACACACATTCCCACTGCGAAACGCTTTTTTTTCTTCTGTTACTTCTTTTCTAAAGTACAGTCACATCAAAGCAGGTAAATAAGAGCCTGGAAATTCCACTGAGAGTGTGGGAGGAGCGGGGGGTGTGTGTGCATGTGTGTGGGGAAGGGGGGGGGGCATTTACCTTGGTGGGCACTTTGACAGCAAAAAGATACAGTCTCCATGTAGCCAGGACCTGGGGAAAGAACACATTTATTTTTCTGTCTCAGAGCAGGAAATGCAAAATGCAAATGGCAGCAAAAAAAAAAAAAAAAAAAATAGCGTGGCGCAAACACTCCATAAAGAGAGCGGATCATCTCTGCGGGTCAGCAACGCAGCCCGAAAGTCACGTTAAGCACCCTAGACATTAGCAAGATAATGATGATGCTGCATGTAAGCGCCTGTGTCAAAAGAAATATTATGGGTAGGCGGCAGGTCATGTGACAGTCCAATTTATTGGTCTGCGTTGTGTTGATGAAAAAAAAAAAAAAACAACAGTGTAACATTTATTCAACAGATGCCTCACTGCGTCAGGGAGGAAACTAATGGAGAGGGGAGCACAGAAGGAGGACAAAGAGGACAAAGACGTCTGGGGGGGTGAACTAAAGGAGGTGTGATGGTGCCAAAATATTTAATGGAGTCGTGGACACAGAAAAAAAAAAGATAATTGGGATGTGTTCACATTTGCCTGTGTAATTAATCCCATTCATAATTCAAAAACCTATAATTAGCACGGACCATTGATGCCTTTTCACCCACTCGTTCTCTAAGACTTTCTCAGCTTTTCTCTCTGATTCCATTTCTGGCCTGTCAATAATTCCCGTCACGGCGTCCTGTCATTCCTCTGATTTTTCTCTTCATCTCCATGGAAATCTGTTCTTTTAGTCCATATTCTTATTTAATCCTTAATCTCCCTGTCTGGTCTGCTCCCAACTACACCCCCACTGCCCCCCCTCCCACTCCAAACTCCAGATTCCCTGGTCGTCCTTTCCCGTTGCAGTTCTTTCTATTCTTTTCTGCTCTGTCGCTTCTAATTCCTCCAGGCCCCTGTGTGTTGAATGGCTAATGGCGCCCTGCAGAGTGGCGGTGAGAAGAAGAAAGCAAATGAAACATGCACAGAGGAGGGAGGAGGGACAGATACAGACAAGGCCGGGGAATAACAGCACTGGATTTCTCCCTTTCAATAATAAGGTTTTTTAGGTTTCCTTCTTCTCTGCTCCAACAACTTACAGAAAAAAAGAATTGGCCTCAAAGATAAGCCCCGTTTCTTTACCAAACCTATATCCATAATGGACTCCCGCAGAGACGAGACAGAAGAGCGAGAACAACGAAAAGAGACGGAACGATCCCCCCACCGGTGAAACATCCACACTATACCGTGGGATTGTACGTCCAGGTAAGTTCGCAAAACGTTTGGTGTGTCTGTAACTCCGGGAAGGAGAGGAGAGAAAGATGGGGTGCTGAGGATTGTTTTAGAATCCGTGGAGAACAGGGGGTGAGAGTCAGAGTGAGTGGACTGAGAGAACCAAAGCGTACACTGGTCATATTACAAAGGCCTCCCAGATTGACAGGCGCCGTCATCATGTCAACAAAGGCATCAATAACACAGACTCTGTGACGGCGGCCGATGCGATCGTCTGATGCTGAACACGGACTCCTGTGTAAAGTTTCTCTTCCTTCAGACAACTGAGAGATCATTAGAGAGGATCAATACTCCAGGTCTCTGTAATGTATGTACTCTGGGTCTGAGCAGCAGAGAGCAGAGAGAAAAAAAGAAAACAGAAAACAATTCTAACAGTACTGTTCCCAGAACGATGTGCAGAGAGGGATAAGAAACAAGACCTGGATCCTCTGATGTTAGGGATGATGATGATGATGATGATCAGATATCAACTTCCTATTTTTCTAATCTAAATTCTCAGGGGTCAGAGGTCAGTTAATGGCTAATTCAATGCGACTAATTTATTTATCCTGATATTAAATATCTAAAATCTGATATCCAGTTCCTACGGATCTGGGCTCCAACTTATCTCCACGCGGTACAGCTGGACTGCAGCCCATTTTTGCAACACTAAAAAGTCTAAAGTCTTACAAACAGAAAATCTTCAGCCATGGACGGAGCTGAGGACAGGTAACAATCTGAAGAGGGATGAGGGAGGAGGTGGAGCGAAGATGATGGGATCGGGGGGGTGGAGAAGTGGGCGACGGAGGTGTCCTCACTGAGGTGGCACGCTTTGGATGCTCAAGTTGAAAGACACGGCGCCTGAAGTAGACAGCGTTGAAGTGTGTGTGCGTGCATTGAAACATTAAATGCATCTCTAACTGGATGTGCATATATTTGTGTGTTTGTGTGTGAGTTTGTGTGTGTGCAATCGAAAGGGCAGAGAACGCGACGCTTATATTAATCAAAAGATGTCAGGCTCTGCACATCAAACAAGACGGGGAAAATCAAAGTATGACTTTTTGGCCCTCTGGTGTGTGTGTGTGTGTGTGTGTTGCAGCACAGCCTGTGAGTTAACAAGCAGAGGATCAGTGCCAGATTTGGCCGCCTGTGGTATTTCTGGCTTCCCCACAAGGGCATTTTAAAATACACACACACATAAACATACACACAACAGAAATGTGTGATACAGTATTTGTAGCAGTCAAACGTCCCGGTGCAGCACAGACACAGTTATGGCTCCTGTGCATGTTTATAATGATGCACCACAGCCCAGTGAGCTGGTCTGTGTGTGTCTGTGTCTCCTCTAACGGACACGGCGGCCAATCATCCGTCAGTCTGTCATCCAACCTGCACCTGTGTGTGAACTTGACAGGAGGTTTGTAATCACATGTGGCCTGGGTTTTAAGTGGACTTCAGAAGGGCTGGACGAGGGCTAAAAATGAGAACAGAAAAACAAACCCTTAAAAAATGTGGAGAAGTACAGGCTCTGAATCAAGAGATAGTGAGGCAGGCACTCTGAACCCCAGAGGACTCCTTAAAAAGAGAGAGACAAAAAAATAGAAGTTGTGGAAGAAAGCAAAGTTAAGGTTGAGAATGTAGAAATGCATTAGTTGCAGGATTGGGTGGAAATTGGCGGAGAGAAAAAGGTGGCGGAGGGGAAAATACAAGGGGTAAGCAGTGTTGGAATGCAGGCAGTAAATGAATGAGGTGGGGGGGGCAGAGTTAAACTGACTAATGGTCAGGGTGGAAGATGAATAGAAGTGCAACAGAAACAGAGGAGGATTTATTTTTAGTTCTTCTTTCAGTATCATGGGAAAAAAAGAGGGCAGTCGTCACGTTTCACAGACTCCACCCCGGGCTTTATATGCATGTGATATGATAATCAAAAGAAAACACAATCCTAATTACGGCACAGAGCTGTGGTCGCGCTCCATCACACAGTAAATCCAGGACACCGGCAGGGAGAATGACTCCGTGCGGAGCTCTGCTGAGGCCGAAGCCACAAACGGACAATTGTAGATGATGTGTCGTTAATGTTCCCCCCGTTACACAAGCATATTACATTAAAAAATGGGAGGCATGACAGAGAGGGTGAAATGAATACTGGAGTCTGCCTCTGTGAATCTGCACCAGTCTGAGAACAGCAGACTCATCATGTTATTCAGCAAATTCCTTTTTTTCTCCCCACTACATTACGAGATTTCAGTAGCTTAAATAAACCTTTCAGTAAGTGGTCATCCAATCCAGAAATCTGAAAAATTAAATGAGCAGGAGGGAAAACTAAACATCACAGCCATTTGGTTCAGTGCCAGTTTGTCTAAAGTTGCTTCAGAATCAACATTCCAAGTGCAATGTAACCAAAACCAACGCCAAGAGTTCATGTCTAACGGAAACGGCTAAGACCAGGTATACTGACATTATTCTATATATTTACATATATACTGTATATACAACTTTTTGCTTCCCTCTGATGAAAAAAATAACTACTAGCTAAGACGAGCCCAACCTCAGGGCTCCAACAACGGCTACAACGTCTTAAAAATGGACTGCAAAATAAAAACAGTTAATTTACTGGTCATAAGTATTACCAATGTTTGCTAAAGGAGAAGAGGAACGGTCAAGTCGACGTACCCAAAAACACAGCACCACAGCCTGAAGATGATCACACAGCAGCTAAGCAGGAAATAGTTTAAACGCAGCCAGACAATATCTAAGGATGAGCTAAGTGCTATCCTGAAGTAAGTTTAGAAAAAGCTAAAGGAAAACAATATGTGTGTTCTATGAACTTAATCACACTGGACTTTTGCTGAAATCTACCAGAATTCTCCTTTAAGACTGCACATATTTCAGGGTTCTTTTTTTTTTACAGACTCTTGTCTTGGCATTGGCGTCAGGGCTGCATAATTCTAAGTTCATGGAGCAGTGCTAATGAAGTCACAGATGCCAAGAAAAGAGTCTCTGGAAAGTCTCTTCCTGCCTGTTCCGGCCTGACATTGCTGCTTGGCAGAGCTGCTCTGCTCTGTGCAACAACGAGTTGAAGACGACGCTCCGTCACCTTCTCTGTCGGCTGTCAAACAGAGATCAGACCAGTCGACCAATCAATGGATGAAATAAATCAGGAGAGACCACAGAGTCAATTAGAATGTACATTGATTCATTAGATGCTGCATAAGTACATCAGGGTGAATACTCAGTGCAGTACCTGAATTTAAGTTTTTTTTCTGTCTTGAAATGCTTATAAATCATTTGTCAAATTAGGAGGAAATTAAAGTGTCTACATTTTAACTTTGCCTAATCTGAAAAGGCTGTTGGATTCTAACAGTGATTGGACAGAACCGCCCACTGAGTAAATAAAAGGCTGAGGTCCTTTGTTCCTCTTTGATAGTGCAAGTGACTTCTTGACTCATTCTGTCCAGCTGCTATAATTTTTTCGGCTCCGCCGGATCCGAGACGGCAACGACAATGTGTGTGAAATTGCAGAGTGCACATGGCAATCTTGATACAATGAGCTAAGGTCACCATCACACCAGGGTCACAAATCAGCAGAGGCGGGGGGGCAAGACTGCTCAGAAATTTCACAGTCCTGCCACGGTTCAGTGGAAGAAATAGAATTATTTGGCAAAACAATTTAGACTTTCAAACCAATACACAATAAATAAAGTCTAAATTAAATTTTTAAATTTTGAAAGAAAAAGAGTCTACAGCGTCAACTAAAGAACTAGCATAAAATTAGCCAAAAAAAAAAGAAGAATCATCATCATTTAAATACAATAAGTGATGATGTATAATTATTTGTTATACATGAAGAAAGGGTTTTTATATAAGCAACTCTTAAAATCTTTGGTTAAGTAAAAAGTCAATCAAATGTGCAGTGCTGAGGAAGTGATACGTTAAGAATATTTAATATAAATATATAATAAACCCAATGAATACAGGGAATAGATTATGTAATAAACATACGTACTAAAGGGTTATTAAGTACAGGGAATCATTTATTTAATGTGGATCAGTGTTGCTAGCATTAATCTCCATTATATATTAGCTCCTCTGCTACGTACACAAGCGCCACTCTTTACATTAGCATCATCAACTTGACTTCAACCCTTAGCCCCCCCGGAGGGGGCGCTCACAAGTGGAACCTTATCAAAACTGCAGACCCAAAGTGGAAGGACGAAAGCACCCAAGTGTGCCTGGGACTGTTGAACAGCAGCGGTCTAGGCCTGTAATGGGCTCATTATTAGGTGGAAGTGAAGGAGAAAACGGGGCAACCGATGAAGACATGCAGTGTAATTGGCAGAAGAGTCAAACTGGCAACTGGGGCATCGAAACTACATCACTGAACACCCCCCACCACTTTATCCATTCCATTCTCTTTCTTCTAGTGAGAAGCCAAGCGCTCCCCTCCCATCTATCCCTCCCTCCCCCCTCCATCTCACGACTCCCTCCTCTCTGTCTTTGAAGATGCATGGTTTTCTGAGTTGGCTCTAATCTTCAAATAGGGTGATCTAATAATGGCTGCAGGACTACGTAAGTGAGCAAGTTGTGATGCGCGGGGGCATGTGTTCCTACGTAGATGCCCCTCCGTAAAATGTCAGAGCGTCTGCAGGAACAGTAACATGCATGTCCACCGCTCTGGGTGTTGCTCAGATGTCACACTGAGTCCTCCCTCAAGTTGAGCATGATGGGTGGAGGGAGACAGGCCTGAGTGTGTGTATGGCTGATGGCTGGTACATTCAATATACACAGACAGCATTTCCCTCAGGGGGGTGGTGTGGAGTAAAAGGAAGAGCAGGATGCAGAACAAAGACCTCTGTAGGGGGACTTCACTGCAAAAGATTTTTCTACAGAGCCAGAAAAGACTCACTGTTAAATTATTTTAACTGGTTTAGTTCATGTTCACAAGAGAAAAACATAAAATGGGCCAAAAGTAATTGGGGGTAAAAATGACTTTTATATAATCTGATATATACCAGCCAACGGAAGAAACATCCACAGAAGAAAAACTCATCATTTGCAGAGGGTAACTGATAATCATTCAGTCATTCAGTAGAAGACTGAAGCAAATTATAAATGTACACCATTGGTGTGTCAGTTCTCAGTCAGTTCTCAGTCAGTTCTCAGTCCGTTCTCAGTCAGTTCTTAGTCAGTTCTCAGTCCGTTCTCAGTCAGTTCTTAGTCTTCCAGGTCATTTATTTCTAAGTTCAGAAGCAGGAAACTGCTGACTGACGTTTCTTGGAGAGAAGTGGGCACCTGATAAAGTGGTGGCCATAGATTTAAATAAATCTACTTCCTGCAAAGTTTACGAGTTTGATTTACGAGAAATGATTTAAATAAATCTATTTCCCGCAAAGTTTACGAGTTTGATTTACGAGATTGTTATGTAGTTATTTTAACTCTTTAATCTCCTTCTGTCATGACAGGGAATATAGGAAGTAAAGCCTTTAAAATTCACAAAGTTCAGTTTGTAGAAAACAATTTGAAAATCCAACTTCCTTTCCTTGCATATTAAGAAGACGACCCTCCCAAAGACCAACCGCGTCGACTAACTACTACAGTGTTTTTTGCATAAAATTCATAAAGACCATTACAAACTCTATTTACCAGCTCTCTGGTAGTTTGTTCTCCATAAATCTGTGTAATGCGTCCAGTAAAGTGAAAATATTGCCTTTCAGGGGGAAGACCTTGACAACGAGCTAACACCGAAGCCTATATCCATCTCCTTCTCTTTTTTTCTCCCCCCACACCCTCCTTCTCTGAGAAAACATTCGAAGCAACATCAGCGGCAGCAGCCAGGGCTCATTTGGATGGTTTAAAAAAAAAAAAAAAAAACTCTCATACGGCGGAAGCCTAATTGAATTGGTTCTGATGGAAACAGGAGCTCAATAACCTTTTACAGGTTGGAGTAAAGTCGGAAGGACACAAAGTGGAAGTGGAAGAAAGTGAGAGGTGACCGGGGTTGGAGTGGTGAGGGGGGAGGAAAGAGAAGAAGGGTGGTGATGGGGAGGAGAATAATCGAGATGGACAGATAAGGGGGAGGAAAGGGAGGGGACAAAGAAAGATGACAAAAATAGGAGTGGGGGTGCGGTAATGATGGCGACAGTCGAGAGAAGAGGAGAAGAAGTGAGAGATGATGTGATGCTCTTATCAGCTGGTCTGGTTTGGTTCTTTTAGAGGAGGAGGAAATGAACCGGCGTCTGTACGTAGCAGACGACCATCAGTCGTCGATCGGTCGCTAACGCAGCGGCGTAACGCACTGATGTTTCAGCTGCAGTGGCCTTGGACGGCACTACAAGCTGCCGACACAGCCTCCAGCAGGCAGTCACACACACACACACACACACCCACCCACTGGCCTGTGGCATTAAGACCCTGCTGCCACATCTAATAAACTCTGAGCGTGAACTCCATCGGCGGTGGCACGGTGTCCACCTCACTCTGCTACGGCAGCGTCAGTGTTTAACACGATTTCCTAAGTGTCAGTCGTGTGTTTCGGGAAGTCTAATCGGTGGTTTCTGGTGCCTCCTCCGATCAATCGATTTTTAATTTGGTCTGTAACAAGCCCATGTCCTCGCCGTTCCACACGGCACGCCTCACCTCACCAACAGGAGACCAACTTCCTTCATCCACAGATCTACTGCATCAAGATCTACACCAAGTACAAGACACTGTACTTATTAACGTGTTTAAAAGAACCAGATTACGTAACAAACATGTATAATAAATGTGAACTTAACACAGAGGACGATCATTGGAGAACCATTAATCTCTATTATACATTAGCTCTAACTGTCAGCAGCTTCTTTAACTACCGAGAAAAGCACCATTAAGGGATATAGTTTGACTCCACCTACTCCAGACTAGTCAAATGCCACGCTCAAATATACAGCAGTCCTGAAACCCAACTTGACAGTTTTATCAAATTTCTTTGTTGGTGTTTTTTTGGTGTTGAGCAACATTTACAACAAAGTGGAACAGTGTGAAAATATTTTTGTGTTGTCTTCTACTGCTGTCTCTGACTTTTTTTTTGCTTGCTTGTCCATCTGACACAAACCAACCTACGATCGGAAACTACCTCACAACCTAAACCTAAACTTAGCACTAGCTAGGCTACTTTAGCATCCAGGTCTTACCAGAATCCTGTCTTCAGTTTTCCCACTCCTGGTGTCCTGCTTGATTGCTCGCACAAACTTAACAGCTTGCTTGTCCAGCACCTTCCTGATGCTCTCTGGAGACGGAGGAAAAACACAACAGAAACAGCAGATTTAATTACATTATGTACAGTAAAAACATTCAGGGATGAAGAAGTGCCACGCAGAAAAAAAAAAGTCTTCTATCTGCACATAAAGCTCAAGGATTAATGAAAGGTAAATCCAGAGGGAAATGAAGGCAAAAAACGATGAAGGGGCGGGGCAGTTTTCTTTTCACTCTGGTGGTAATTACTTTCTCTTTACATTCCCTCTCTGCAGTGATCTAGAGTGTAAAGAACCATAATTATAGAAGAAACACAAACACCTCCAGTTTTTGGTATTACTGACAAGGACTTGATGGCAGGATATAGATCTAAAAAAAAATTCTAACATGAAAAAAACCCTTTCAATATTTATATTTTTTCTTATTAAACACATTTAACCCCAGTTGAAAATGAAGGAATAGCAAAACTTTGACTCTTTTTCACAGAAACTTTTCTTGAAAGTGACTTATAACTGAGGGACTTCATTAAATTTCACTACCGTAGGAGACCTTAAAGTGAACACAACGTGCTAAATCTGCTCACTTGAAGGCTGCGCTCATACAGTTGGAGGTCAGAAGACACAGAGTCCAGACTGAGTTAGTGGACTGAGAGTTAACGCTGTATTTATTTCTAAAAGGTCTCCAGGATCAGGACCCCTGACCTGGACTCAGAGTCCTTCTGAGGAGCTGTGGAGTCTTTGATGAACCGTTGGTGGGACAGTGAACACAACACGACTCTATCTTCACACATAATGTTCTTTTTCGGCCTCTCTGTTTGGCAGGAATGTTAACTGAAGTCGAGCGTCGACAGTGGGATTATTGGGGTCAGGCAGAGATAAATGACAATTTATTTGGAACGAGGAACCCTCAGAACCCTGAAGATAATATTTATTATTTGTTGGAGCATTTTAATACAAATCTATGCTATTTTAATGCTGCTACTGCGAGTGTTTTTTAACCTTCTGTAAATCGCCACAATTTATTGCTTGTTGTGTAGAAGGGGATTTGGACAAGTGTGACCAGTGGGTGCTGAGCAGCTCAGGTCTGTTATAGGAGAATTGACAAAAATCCAACAATGGACACTTCAAGGATTGGATCCGTCAGAACTCCAACCAATAACAGGTGTAACTCAAAGACACGAAGAAGAAGAAGAAGAGACTCAGAACTTGACTCTGACCTGTATCTGACAGAACTGGGTTAGAAATACATTTTTTGAACGTATCAACTTTGGAGTTGTTGTGTTTTGGAAGAAAGACCAGTGGACCGCTTCTTAGATCTGCCACGAAGACGTGACGTTAACTACAAAGACACAGACACACACACACACACACTCATACTAACGATCTCCAACTAAAGAGGACTCATAACTGGGCTATTTTTAGCCTCAGAGAAGGATAAAAAAAGAAAGAAGAAGAAGAAGAAGAAGAAGCCCAGCTCATTACAAAACAGCCAAACAGAAGATTCATAGATTCAGTCTTCACTGGTCTCTGCTCCACCGTACCATGTGACCCTGCTCCACCGTACCATGTCACTCTGCTCCACCGTACCAGGTGACCCTGCTCACTGAACCGCAGCACAGGCCTTTGCATTTACATGTCCTTCAGGACCCAAACAACCTGCTGTCCACACACACACACACACACACACACACAGTGTCAACCTGTATCTCCTGACTGTGAACACACACATATGCCAGCGTGGACTCACAGCTAACAGTTTCTACCAGGGGCCCTGATGCCAAATATGCACTGGTGGAACTGAACCAGATGGAGACAGAGTGTGTCATGCTGTGTCACACAACACTCTCCCAACTCTCACACGACGGCCCACTCATAATTCTCACTTTCCTCATCAACCTTGAGGTTGTTTCTTACGGGGACAGGAAGGGGGAGAAGGACGAGGAGGAGGAGGAGGCAGTGACGGTAGGACCTGGAGGAAGGTGTGGGCACATCAGATCAGTGGGAAGACACAGAGTTACTGACGTAAGTCCGGGTAAGACCTGGTGACACGGAGCTTTTAGCCCACTCTGCCATCCCCCTGAGACTCCCATGAGGGTGAGGGGCAGCAGGCGATGAGGGGGGAGACGATGAACGTGGACGATACGACCATTGTCTCCTCAGATACCTCCCCACGTCTTCTTGACCTCTTGACCCTGTTCTAGATCTGCTCACTGAACCCTATGAAAGATCACCACCCTCCCTCGTTATCTCCCCACAGAGCAGGTGTGTTAATGGACAGGACAGGGCCAGGGTCCAAGCAGGGGGGACAGGCAGAGGACCACTGACCGTAGCAAACAGCAGGGATTTAACTCGCCACGTTGAGTTAATTAGCAGCGACAGATGAAGTTTCCCGAACGCCTCGCCTTCCCCACGTGTGTGTGTGGGTGTAATTGGGCGACTAAGGCTGATTTATGGGAAACTCGTGGGTTTGGTCTCCACCAGCCTCGCTCTACTGGGGAGAGAGGGCCGTAAACAATAGACAATAGAGAAAGTCAGTAACATAAAGTGCTCCTTTTGCCACTGTACTGCATTCACTACTGCAGTTGTAGTTACAACAATACCTACAGACTCCTGGTCACAGGTAAACATGGCTAACAACAGGCCAGACCGTTTCATTGGCGTTGTACCGACAACATCTGATGTGTCCAGATCACTGATGTCAAATCTGATGTGAAGGCAGAGTAGAGTTCGTAAAGTTGACACTACAGTTCAGTTTTATTTTCAGACACCTGTGAGTCAATAATATAAAGAATTTACGCTTCAAGTTATTCATGAAACGTTTAGTTAAAGTAACGACAAAGAAGGAATACTGAGTAAATAAAGATGACACTGGTATTTATTTCTCTATTAGTTACTGACCTGTTCAATAAAACTGACACTTGAGGTCAGTTAGTTTTATCATTAATCGATTATCACAAATGGTTGTTCAATTAGTCGACAAATCATTGCAGGCTGCAGCTACAGGATGATGTAGTAAAAACACACACACACACACAGTGGTGACTCCTAAGTGCAGCTGCGTTATTCTAGAAGCACCACAGGAACTGTTCTCCACACATCTGCCTTCAGCATCAGCATCAGCATCACGACCTCAGAAAGTGAACTCCTCGGAGGTCAACCTCCTGATTTAAACCTCCACTGTCAGAAGAAAAGAGGAACTGACCTTTGCATGACTTTTTACCCAGAAAATGACTAAAAAAAACCCCCCACACTTTCCTCCAACTGAAGCCACGCTTCCTCTCTTACCTGTCATCTCCCTGCTGACGCTGATGAAACCCGCCACTGGACTCTCCTTTGAAGCCATGCTCCGAGCTCCTTTATTTCCTTTTACTCCTCTTTCTGGTTCTGATCCCTGCTTTGACAGATTCCCCTCCGCCTCCTCCTCCTTCGCGGCTGCAGGAGCTTCAGCCGGAGCAGAGAGAGAAGATGGTGCGACGCTGAGCTGAGAGCAGAGCGAGGAGACTACAGCTGAGCACAGCTGAGTGGAAGAACGCGTTCGATTACACTGAGAGGGAGAGAGAGAGAGAGAGAGGGGGGGGGAGCAAAAGAAAGGATGGGAGGGAGGGAATAAGGGAGAGAGAGAGAGACAGCGAGAGGAGGGTTAATTTTTTAGGAAAATTACATAGTAAAACTGCTCATTATGCAATTATAGTGTACATGAGGAGTTCATAGTATTGCAGTAATATATGCACAGACTGTAACTGAGGTATTTTTATCATTGCGATACAAAACAGGGGGTTTAATCATTGTAAATTTAAATTGTAACTTTCTCAGTTGCCAGATGTTTGTCACGCAAGTAACACTTGTGCACAAACACTCCAGTAGGTGGTAGTATCAGTAACCTACAGTTTGTTTGGCATCAGAAGAAGACAAACAAGATGCACACAAAGACAAGCACACATGGGGAGGACATTCAGGGCTCAAACCTGTGACCTTCATGCTGTAAGGCGGGTAAACAAATCACTTGGCTACTGTGTCACCTCCAACTGACCCTGAAATAAAAGCAGGGGAGAAATACTTCATAGTAATCAAACTTGGAAATTTTGTCTTTCAGCAGTATGATAGCCAGGTTAAAAATGGCGTCCTCTATCGTCACTGTTAGAAACCGGTGAAAAAAATCCAAAATAAGATCATTCTGTATTTTTATTTTTAGTCTTTGTTTTTTTTTTTTTGTCAGAATGAAGGAAATGTGACGCCTTTTGATGGATGTGTGTTTGCTCCGAGTGTTTCTTCAATGATGTGACAACGTTGCTGGAGCAGAGCCATAACTCAGAGGCCTTAATTCCACGTCTTTTCCTTCAGATTTCTGGATTCTCCGCTCGTGGCTCTGATCAGATTTGGGACAGGGAGGAAACAGGAGCCCCCGCGCTGAGGTCAACTGTGATGTACGATTCACCCTCTCATCTAAACGGCTGCTACTTGTCAATGTCATCACTTAGGCAGAGCAGCGCTTCAGAGATGGAGCCGAAATGAAACCAAAAACTTAACTCTTCAAGTTCCATCCAGGGCCGGAGCAACATGGTGGGTGTTACAGACGAGGGAGGAGAAGAGGTAAAAGAAGAGAAAGACAAAGAGTAAGAAGGTTAGGAGATAGACACGGAGGACGAAGACGAGGAAAAACAGTGGGAGAAGACAAGGAAGAAAAGCGAGAGGAAGTGAAATGAGATAAGGAAGGAGGGAAGAAGGAAGACAAGGAGGAAAAAGAGGACGAAGAGGAAGAACCTGAATCCCTGTGTTCTCATCTATCATCTATAAATATGACAAATGTCCTCATGAGGACACAAATGAATGGACACAGCTGAGCCTGGTCTCATTTCCAAAGATCGGCCCTGGGGGGCCCCAGAGCTGTGGAACAAGGGTTCTTTATCCAAAACATTCATCAACGTATATTTCTGTGTGTGTGAAGGAGGTTGAGTCCTTTGTGTCACTGATCCTTCACCCTGATGAAAGGAGACACAGCAGGAGGCGAGTATCATTATTTCAAAGAGGAGGGGAGAGCGCCGTAGACGGAGAACAGCCGTTTGGCAGGACCACGGAGCCTCGTGCAGCAGGAGATCAGCAGCATCCTTAGCCAGTTTTCACAGGGTTAAAAAACTTCCAACGCCGTTCAAAGACACACTTGAAAGGACGCCCCATTATTTATTCATGGCTGCAGCATCTCATAAATGAGAGTCAGGTTGTTCAATACCCCCTCAATATTCATCAGTGAGGTGGCGACGGCCCATGCATGAATCTGACTGCAATTTCATTTCTTTCTGATTTGCTCCCTGCACTGGAGTGACCTAAAAATAAAGATGAACACAATTAAAAACATTATTTTGTGGAAGCAATGTAAGAAAATCAACTGGAAAATAAATAATATAATGTTCTTCATCGTGTCTGTAGAAACTTCATGTAATGACACACAGTTGTCATCGATTCTTCTACCAGTTTTCACACTGGTTTCTTTGAGGAAAGTTTACTTACAGTGAACGCTTAAAACGTCCACATGATGGGCTGGGATTTGCTGCCACCTTGTGGACAATTGTGGTTACTGCGTGATTAACGTGATGTAACCGTAAAAAATATTAGTAATGGAAAAATAAAACAAATACCTGAATGAAAAACTGTCATTAAGTCATTAATAATTTTTTTTTTAATTTATGCAATTTATGTCATTAAGTCATTAATGTCATTTATAATTTTTTTTTTAATTTATGCAATTTCTTGCTGTTCTTCTGGTGTTTTGTTTAACTAATTTAGCCATGCAACATTGGTGACAGCTATAGTTGGAAGTTGCATGTTTATATCCTTCTGCTAAATTTGCTAATTTTTTATTTATTAATTCATTTCATTTTACCTTGACTGTTAAATATTTATTATTATTTGTTGTCCATCTTTTTGCCTTTTTTAAGCTAATGTCTGGCTAATAAAATAAATTATTTTAACCATACTTTACTTTTCTCTGCAGCCTTTCTTTTCTTAATAAACTGTATTATATGTTTGGGCTGTTGACAAGTTTCATATATTTCTTAAACATAATTAAATAATGTATTTATTACCTATTATGCTACAAACACAATTCTTAAATCCAGTGCATTTTGCATCAATACATGGACTTTACCACAGCCCGTAGGTCTGCACTTGAAAGATTTGCAGAGGCAAGTCAATAACCGTTTCAAACGCTAGGTGGCATTATGACCATATTCAATGGAAAACTCTGCTATTTCCCCTCCAGAAACTGTGAAAATATTTCAAAACCAGTTTTGATGGAAACCTCAAAATTAAAACTTTTTGCTTACAGCTCATGATATACATTTGTTTACTTCTTTCACCTCATTGTCCTCACAGACAGAAAGTCGTCACGGCCTCTTCATCAGAGCTGACACACAGACTGAAAACTGTTGCTGACCTTCACAGCACTGATTCAGTCTGACAGAGAAAAGCCAGCGCAGCCACTTCACAGTAAATGGAGCTGAAGTCAGATTAAGAAGGGAGTGTGTGAAAACAGCTGCTGCTCTTCATTGAGATGTTCATTGTGACTGCCCAGAGTCACCGACAACAACTCACCACATCAGTAAAACCCGGGGTGTGTCAGGGCTGCTGTTGTGGCAAGGACTCTCTTTATCCCATCAGTTTTTACTGGTCGTCCTCTCATCTCGCTGCACCATAAAAAAATAGAAGACAAAAACTGTGTGATTTATTGGAAGGAATGTAAAAATGATCTTGGAGACGAGTCAATGGATAACAAGCTGAACTCTGTGGATTTTTATTTCACGGCCCCATTGATCTGCTGCACAGTAAAAAAAAATGAAAAGAGTTATCGATTAGTCACGTCGCTGAGAAGGCTTCGCTGTCTTTTTACAGAAATCTTAGGGACCGTAGGCGTCTGGCATTAGGGCGGAACTGATGTGCAGGCAGACACAGTTCGGTTCTACGGTAATATTCGCTGATATTACTTAATGCAACGTTTAAAGTTCTGAAGAAGGATTTTAAACATGCATGAAGTCAGTGAGAGAGAGGAATAATCTGAATTAATTCAAGAGGAGACACCAGAGCAGGAGGACAGAGGAGGTGCAAGAAGGAGCAGTGGGGCCAGTGAGGCAGCAGCAAAATAATAATATTTAATAATTTTTCAATAACATAATAATTATTCATAAGATGACAAGGGTTAGAAGTATATTTATGTCGAAATATTTAATAATTAATAATTTTTCAATAACATAATTATTCATAATATGACAAGGGTTAGAAGTATATTTATGTGTACATGGCCCCCTGTGTGTTGTACAGTGCAGTGCAGTTCTGCCCTCATTACAAATTCTTGATGAAAACAAACAGTTGAAAGAACCATAATCCTCATCTAAAGCCATATGTTTGTCGTCGTAATAGTACTAATTATCATGATGTTCCTCATCTCCACTCAGAGCCACCGCTCTGTTGTGACAATCCCATTGATTTTTAAGCATTTGCTGCTTTTCAGTTGAAGTGAAGAATCAATAACACTCCAGTATCTGAGCCACTCACTCACCTCTGCCACAGGGAGAGAAAATCTAATGTATTTATGTCTATGCATCATTACTATCATTTCACTCCATCTGGGTTGGATTTTATATTAACACATTTTCAACGCCACGGCCTTTATCTACTGTGCAGTCACACTCCCACCAGCAGGAGCCACTGACGTGACGTTTATCTCCCGTGACACTACGGTGGATGTGGAAACTACTGACTGAAACAAACCGACTCTGTCACGAAGAGACTATTGTCAACAAACACATATCAAGAATCTAAAGAATTAAATCACTTCAAACTCCTGACAGTTCTGGGGTCTGGACGTTTCCTCCAGATTTCATTTAACAGTGAACACTAATTTAAATGTACACATTATTTGGGATGGGATTATTTCCTAATCCACATTGTCACCGTTGTTTTCCCCAAAATTCCTTCACAGTTAGTCACAGTTTTTGCATTTCTAAAGCAAAAACAAATACACGAACTCGTGGAGGAGATAAAAATCTACTTAGTAATTACAGTACTAATGAGGACCAGTTAATTATGACACCTAAATACAGCACAGCCCCAACTGCCTTAAAGAAAATTGAAAGTCTGGTAGAAAACTTTTCTCTTTTTTTGCAGTATTTCTGTTATCAACAGCAATTCATTCTGTGACAGATTTCATTTTACAAAAAACAGCAGCAGCACCTTCAGATATTTGGCAGCAGACGCAGAGACTGGACTGGACTCAGGAGCCACTGATCGATCAGAGACTCCAGACCAAATTACTTTTCAATAACCAGAAAACAACAAAACAACAAGAAGGAATTGTTCTTTTAGCTTTCGTACAAGTGACAAATGTCCTTACGGTTCTGTCGCAAGTTCCCGACTCAAAGGAATAAGAGAAAATTGGAAAAAATGTAAACAGGATATAAAGGAATAATTCAGTGCGTTTTCAAAAGGATGAAAGAAAGGTTTGAAAATCCTTACGTTCTCAAAGTTGTTCACGGACGTTTTTTCTCCTCCAGGATGTTTCTGCTGTGATAAAAAAAAAAACATCTTTCAAAATAATATCTGAACACAGAACTGATGGAATTTCACATTTGTAATATAACCACAAATATCAAAGATGAGGTATTCTTTTTTTTGTTCCACCTGGACTGTTCTCCAGGTCAATAACAGTGACTGGAAAACCATTCACACCTCTAGATTATATGAGCATCAGCTGGGGAATCAGACCACTGACCTTCTTGCTGTAAGGCAAGAGCACTTACCACACTTCCAGAACAACAAACACATTGGGAAATACAGGAAAACTGGCAAAGTCAAAGATGGGAATAATACTGGAGAACTTTGAAAACTTTAGAACCAAAACAACAGTGGGATGAAACTAACTTTAAAACCTTAATAATCAGAGGCTCCAGTGAAGAGGGCCACAGCCGTGGTTGTTGGTTCTCTGTTTTTGAAACTAATAATGTCAAACTGCTAACAATGTTGTTTCTCTGTACTGGGTGCAAATGTCACACAGACCACTGTCTCATTATGAATTATTCATTAATAGAGATCATTTCACCAAAACAAACTTTAACTAAAACTCCACCACAAACAGCAGCTAACCAAAAATAAAAGTACTTCACAGTGTTAGTATTGTATATGTTTACATCTATTTTTACTTATATTCCGCTGGTAAAACATTAAAAATCTATAACAAACAAAACATTAGCATTAGCATGTTAAAACAGCAAACCTCTCGCCTTATTAACCAAGTCTCTGTCGACGACAAATCAAGCGAAAAGTTAGATATAGTGAGAAAAACAAAGATAAGTAAATTACCGTAGTTTCCTGCCTATGAGCCGCTACTTTTTTTTTTTTTTTACACACTTTGAACCCTGTAATAAGGTTAATTTATGGATTTTTACGGGCTAACGAAGTTCATACCGCTAGCCATTAATTACTTTTCCGGTAGGCTACTGTGTTACTCTAGTTGCGTACGTAAGTCTGTGAATGGCTGTGTACGTATATGTGCGTAGGGCGCGGGCGAGAGAGAGAATGGTGGCGACATTAAAGCCTGACTTAGTTATAGAAGAGCTGTTAAAACACTGTTCATGTACCGTTGTGCTCGATGTGGCCGATAAAAAAGACCTTGAACTTCCCTGGTTCTATTTACCTCTGCTGCGGACAAGCACGAAGGGAATAGAGTTAGCGCCGGAGCTAACGTTAGCTTCGGCCCTGGAGCAGGGAAGAGCTAATGTGTAACCAGCCGTGTTAAAGGCACTGTTCAGAAATAAAGCATTTATGTTACATGAAACAAAACAAAAAAAAAAACCTAAATAAATAAATAAAAATAAAATAAAACTTTTTATGTAACATCTCTCTGTGTAAATATCCCATGTTAAACTAAATACTTCTGAAAATGGTATACATATATTTATACATACACATATATAGGCTACATGTGTGTGTGTGTGTATATATATATATATATATATATAAATAATTGTAAAAAAAAAAAAAGTAATTATATCTATTTTTGTCTATCTATTTTGTAGTATAAACATAATATTTAATAGCTGGTATAACAATGTATCTTTTCCAGCTTGGGAACATCTTGTTCAGACCCCAGGACAGGACGTCTGGGACGGATCGTGATCGTGGCACTAATTGCGGACCAATTGGTCCATTATTTAAAATCTCTAGTGGTTTTCTTTTCCTTTATATTCATCCACAGCTCCGTCCTTCACTGGAGCCATTACTGGAGCAGCTGTGGTCTACGGTTTCCACCACGGCACCAGCAGGGGGCTAATGACAGCGTTCTGAAAAAACAGGACAGGAGACAGCTGGGTTATAAACCTATGGAGTCTGAGGCTCTGTAAACTGTATTAGAGTGTTTATCTGGAGATGGAGCGCTGCGTTCAAGTTCACTCTCAATCTCACTGCGTTTGTGCTGACCTCTGGAAGCTGCTGCTGCTGCTGCTGCTGCTCCCAGTCAATGGAGAATTGAGTCTTAATCCAGAAAATAGGAAAAGACAATTATTGGACTCTGGAATTGGAGGGGAAAAAAAAATCCATGAGCTTTCACTCGGCTAATAGAATTTAACAAAAATCTGCCAATACAAAAGTGTTTGGTACACAGAGCAGGGCTTTACAGCCTTATTGGCTGAGTAACTGAAGTATTACTGGTAATTAAAGTACATATGAAAGTAGAGTATGCAGGAATTAAATACTAAAGGTTCAACATCTAACATTTAAAGTGTAGAGTTACAGATTTGGCTATTAAATGTCTACCAAGCGCCACCTACAGGCCAGATAAAGAGCACTACAGGTTCATTGTTGACAAGAAAGAAAAAAAGAAAAAGCCCAAAACAAACAATTGAAGAGAAGTGCTCACTTCACCTTTAACCAGCAGTGAGTGTGACCTTTACTGCAGTGAGTGTTTACTGGACCTTGTGACGGTGCAGAGTGTTGTCAGAAGAATTTGGCCAAAGCTTTTCATAGAGCAGCAGAGAATGAACATCAGTTTCGGTGAAACAGTCGTTTCTGTATCATTTTCCAAAACGGCCTGGAGAAATCCAACTTCCTGCGTGCTGCACTTTATGATATCTGACACCTAATCTGGACTCTGGTTGTTTGATATCACGACTGAAGCCAGAGGCGGAGGAGAAGCGGAGGCAGGCAGAAGTTTGGAGCGGAGCAGACTGACGGACATTGGATTAAAGAGAGTGATGGCCGTCCAGGAGGCATTTCAGGAGCGGCAAACAGTTACTATTTCATTTGAAAGCACAGATGCAGCTACCAGCTACGATTAGTCTGTGTTTGGAGTAAACAGACTTTTCAAAGTCTGTGCTTTTCCCAAATGGGAACCAAACAAATCTAAGGGCTGGGATCTGTTATCACAGGCCAAATTACAAATTCAATAATCACCAGCTGAGGCCGACACCGACCCGAACGACGTGCGTTTGTTTTAATCCAGAACCAGGCTTTTCTCTTACATCAATATACTGTGTATTTATATATAAATATATATATTATCATTTTTACGGCAGCCTTTACAGCCGTTTGGAGTCTTGTAAACACAGGCCCAGTGTGACAGTAACGTTGCTGAGGATTGTTGAATCAATTATGAGTGTTAGTATTTATTTATTTATTTGTCATTTATTATGGAGCCCTGCTCTCCAGACAGTCATCTGAACAGAACAAAGTAAATATAAGAAAATGAGAGCGATTTCAGGCACAGAGAAAACAGAAAGGAAAGTTTTTCTACCGACATAACTGCATTACTTTAAAGGTTCTAAAACTGTCGTACGTGTACCTCTGTTGGTACGCTGGGGAATCTGATCCAATTCAATTTGTTTATAACTGCTGTTGTGTACTCTCTCATGCCCCCAGTGGGTCTGTTAGATTTAAATTAAAGATACGGTTTTGGTTGTAAATTCATGAACAAATAACCTGTTATTTATTCACCTCCTCATGGTGATTGGACCAGTGCAGATGTTTGTTTGCACTTAAAATAAAAAACACTCCAAACCACCATCCCATTTTTTATCGTGCACACTAGTGAATTTCACTTTCATAAAGAGTCATAAAGAGCCGTAAACTATTTTTATGGCACACATCATTTTGTTTTTTTCCCCCAAACTATTTTTATGGCACACATCATTTTGAAAAATCCAGATGTTGCATTATCCGGTTTTCATCATCAGTGTAGTGTGAATGTAGCCTGAATTGACAAAAGGTGTGAATGTTGGTGTGAATGTTTGTAGTCCTGATGCTCCGTGTCTATTGTTCGCTGACATGACAGTTCACTCTGCTGTTGTTTTTTTGATTGTCAGTCTCTGACATTCTCATCTGGATGATTTGTCTCCTCACATGACGCCGTGTCCCTGACATCAAATTCAAGTGAAGCCTCCACCAACACAATCAGTTCTGTGAAGCGTCACGCAGACATAATCTTCTCCTTCGTATCTTATTTGATTGCTGTAATACATCACTCCGAACAGCTCTGAAAGGAATTAAATTTTATACATCACTTAGTTTATCTTCAGTTACTGAAACTACAGTGAACTCATCTTTGGACAGGGAGCTATCATATCTGAATGTTTGATTTTTTTGTTTTTTCTTTGTTGTTTGTTCCTCTGGGATCACGTTTGTTTTCTCCACGTCCTCAAGAAGCGCAGGTCAGAGCGGAGGTGGGCTTTAAATCGAATCAGGCCTGTGAGTGTGTATGATGGTGTGTGAAAGAGAGTTAGCTCTGTGATGAACAAATGATCTGTGAAGGTTGTTCCCTCTGAGCCTGGGAGGATGCACACAGACTCTGAATGAACACAAACAACCGGCGGCGTCTTCACACAGAACGAGAGCTTGTGGGTCTGATTCCAGCAGGTGGCAGCAGAGACACGTATGTAAACTGCGGGTTTTTGATAGTTTTCTGAGGCAGTGATGTTGGACAGAAGCTGGGATTCAGCAGCATATTACAGTGAGTCCATTATTTCAGCTGCCATTGATTTCAGGAACAGCGAGCGGCTCTGAAGGTCCTGCAGAGGCGTCCGCGAGATTGAAGAGCGCTCGATGGTCACGACACTGATGTGATGAGAATCCTGAAGTCCAGAAGGACTCACTTTGGAGGAAGAACCCTATCTCAGCAGCTATTGCTGCACTGGATAATAGGTCTGGAGGGAACACTGTGTTAGTCCTGTTATCTGCTGCGCTGTCATTGTTTCAGCCGTGACTGTGAGCTGGACCGTATGTCTACCTGAAACTGAGTCCAATCTGGGACTGGGTTACTGTTTCAGGAACAAAAAGCTGGAAATAGTTCTATTTTCAGCCCTTTATGAAATAATTTTTGGAGGGCAATTTCAGTCTTTCATTCATTCCTTCATCTTCCAGAGCCAATCCCATCAGTCCTGGACAAGTCACAGGTCAAAGGTCACAGGTGCACATCCATCAGTCCTGGACAGGTCACAGGTCAAAGGTCACAGGTGCACAAGTGCAGACAGAGCTTCAACAGAGATTTGAAGCAAAAGCAGTGAACGTGTGGAAGTGTATTTGGGACGAGAGGAGGTGGGGGTGAAGGTGGGGGCATCAAGAACAGCCCAATCTAATTAGTTTAATCTCTGATAAAACAAGCATGATAAGCATATCGCCACCATGTGGCCGTACCTCTGGAGGCAGTGACTCTCAGGACGTAGTGACTCGGACGATGGAGAACCTTCAGAGAACGTGAAAAAGATGCTTTAACTGAAACAATAAATAACACGTTGTTTACCTTCAAATGTAACCGTGTACAATAGGAATCAGTGTAGTAATTCTATATTTACATTATAATGATGATGATGATGATGATGATGATGATGATCCTCAGTCAGCCATGAACCCCTCTGACCTCCATCCGTCCCACTGGTCTAAACCGCCGTAGCCGAGGGCTATGAATTTAAACTCCAGCAGAGTTCCTAAGGTCAGGGAACGCCACAAAAAGTTTTACAGATATCAGTTCAAATGAATCCACATCAACATTTAAATTATTATTATTATTTTACATTATTATGTGATTAGTGCTGCAGGCGTTTAAAAAACCATGGAGTGAATATACATGAAAAAACTTCATCCAAGTGGACGTTACGACACATTACCACTTTCTGTGCTCTGGGGTGGACGTTAAGACACATTACCACTTTCTGTGCTCTGGGTTATTTCTCCTTTGTAATACTTGTAACCTCTGCATATTATGGGAATATCAATAAAACAGTCACAAACAGAGGTTCTTGATGAGAGTAAATAACCCAGGAAGAAGGAGGAAAACGGATAAGTCAGCAAGGAGACCAATAAGCAGCAGGACCAGCACAGAGCCCATAATAGAACATTAATAGTTCTAGTTAAAGTAATGATCGGGGTCTTACATCAGCATCAGCTCTACATACACCATTAAAGCCTCGCAGCATAAATGACTCCTTTAGATGAAACGAGATGGCGGGGGGTCGGGAGAGGTCGCGTGCAGACAGGAAAGTGAATATATATACTGCAGATAATAATAAAGAAAGAAATGAAACATCGAGATAGAAATGGCTCTTAATGGACGACAGAGGAAAAAATATGTAGCAATTAAAGGAGTGGAGACAAAAGTGAGGAAGGATTACAGTAAACGACGGAACGTAGAGACAGAACTGAGAGATCAGAGATCCTCAGTTCCTCAGTGCGTCCATAAACTTCACTCTGGATTTTTCTTTTTTTTAATTTCCATCACAGGTCGTCGGCAGATGAGAAAGTTTGGAGAAGACAAAACTAAAGGGAGCACAGACATCTGAAGAGTTTCTCAGAGAAAACACTTTACCTGCAAATCAAACCAATGGTTTTGTAATTCAAAAAAAGAAAAAGAAAGAACGTGACCTCACTGTAAGGATTCTTCTGCTTCAAGTGTTTCAAAAGTTTTACGTTGAACAAAATACAAACGGTTCTGCCTTTGGAGGAATAACTGGCGTCAGATGGTTAAAAATGTCCGCTGCTTCAGGAATAATAGATTCAGACGATGACCATGAACAGATGCTTCACCTCCATCAACACTTCTGGTTCCCCACTTGTTAAATGACTAAACAGTGTGGTTAACAGATAATGGGACGTGGCCTTGGGGCACAGTTCCAACTCTCTCTCAGCTGACGGCATTTTGTTTTTACAAAAAATGATTCATTTTCTCCTTTTTTGCCTGACAAAAAAAATATGATTTTATCTCATTTTTGTTCAAGTTCACCAAATGAGAGTCAAGGTGAATCGATGACTATTAATTTGTCAAGTTGTCAAGAACTATTAGTCTCCTCACCGGAATAAGTCAAAATGGTTATGAACAGGAAGTGCAACGTGACCTTGGAGCAAAGTTGACTCAGTTTCAGCCTCGTGGAGTCTGGTGAACACATTCTGTTCCACAAAGATGACTCATTTTCTCCTTTTCAGACTGGTAAAAGAAGGTTCTCGTGGATTACTAAATTACCAATCTTATTTTTTTATTCCATCTTCACAAAGAACACCAACTGTTCTCCCTGACCTTCCCCTCCCTGATGCCTGCGTACACACACACATAAACACACGTCTCTGCTCCTTCCGTCGCTCACAGCTGCTACTGTTTCGCCACGATGTGCGGAGGACAAACGGAGGCGCAGCTGATGAGAATTAATCCTCGCAAATGTCTCACCAAAGGCATAACATCCTCCCTCAACTTATTATTCCACTCACTTCATTGAACAATTAACCAATCTGACTCAAAGGGCTAATGAATGTACTTAACTCTCTCTCTCTCTCTGTGTGTCTCCCTCTCTCTGCCGCTGCGTCTCAGTGTTTGTGAGTCTATAATTGGCTTTCATGTTCTCCTATTCTCTGTGTCTCTAATGATCATCTGCATAAACACACACTCTCTCTCTCTCTCTCTCTCTCTCTGCAGGCCTCAGACGCCACCAGGACCCGTGGTCTGATACGATCACCCCCGCACGCAGCGCTCGACCACCTCAGCTCCCAGGAAACGCTGCAGAGCAAATAAATAAAAACAAAGGTTCAGACATTATCTGTTGGCCTCGCCGGGTAAGAAACCGCACGTCTCTGTAGGTAGGACAAGATAAACAAATATTCATTCATTTTGAGGGGTGCGGGGGGGGGGCAGGGAGGAGGATTCAACCTCACCGCTCTCTCTCTCTGTCGTACCAGGGGGCGAGAAAAAGGAAAGAAAGTCATCTCTTCTCAGTCCGCTGCTCCACCAAAGGAGACGGCTGAGGGTTTTGATGGTTTGTGATGTGAGAACGGCAAAAAAAAAAAGACATCATTCACTGAAGCAAGAGAAGGAGAGAAGAACAGAGAAAAAACAAAAGATATTCCAGCTGGAAAGAGAGGAGTCTGGACCAGTACCAGGAGACTAGGCCTCCTGGTACGTGTCCAGGAGACTGGGCCTCCTGGTACTGGTCCAGGAGACTGGGCCTCCTGGTATAATATAATAATATTATAATAATATAATTCTTAATTCTTCACAAAGCAGATATATTTTAGGGCTAAGCTCATGTAAAGTTTTTCATATTTATTAGCCAGTTAGCTCAGTTAGCCTCCTTTTTCAGTAACTGTAGCCTAATCATGCGTTTTGGTCTTCAGCTTCTTTTAGCTTCACTGTATTACTAGTTATTTTTCTTTTCTAGACGGTTCTATCTATTTTTCAGTCTAAACAGCCGCAGCCCAGTTTCTTCTGCCCTGTTTGGTTGTCCGGCCGGGTAATAAGCAAAAACTTTTGGCAGAGGTTTCTCCTCCTCCAGCTTTATTATTAATGGAGATCATGTATTTATGGAGGTTCTACAGGGAGAACGTCGGTGCTTTATTTACTGCCCAATCTCTTCACACCGCGGCTCAACAGACTTCTGTAAGCAATGTAAATGTGGATCAGAGTGAGAGCAGGGGCAGAATGCTCAGCAGTGTATCTGCACCATTACTGTGTGGCATTAAGTAAATGCCCCGCGCTTACGGTGACATGATAAGGGATTATGTCACCGGTGGTTACGGCGCGTCACCAGAACGCAGCCAAGATCCTTCTACTAATAACGTTCCCCTCTTCAACCTTTTCCTCCCACTGTTTGCTAACAGTGCAGGCGCTGCACACCCACCGGGGGGAGTACTACACATGTTGCCCTTTGATTCCAGCTCCTTCCATTTTAATTACCCACTTTCTTCCTTTCATTCCTTCTGTCTCCAAAGTGTAAATACCTCCTGTGTGTAATTTAGCCTGAAGTTTCCATTCACTAATTACACCCTCCACCCCCTCTCCTCCCCCCACACCTCCCCACCTCCACCTCCACCATCATTCCCAACCAACACCACCATTCCCGAAAACGAGTCCCACTCCAGGTCTCCCCCCCGTTACGTTATGGATTCCCTGTCGACCCGCTACAGAGGGATCGAAGTCTAATTAAGATTGTTAATGAAGATTTAATTTTCCACCTCAAATGAGCCAGTGGACCTAGAAAATATCCCCAGTGCAACGCATGAGCGAGGGGGAGTGGGAGAGACAGGAGGAGGAGGAAGAACAGGGATGTGGAGGTTGAAGGTACTTTATTAGCCTTCAGAGGAGCGAGCAGGAAGATGTCCCGGCTCCAAGGTCACTGTGGAAGTTCAACAACTGTGGAAATTGAATCTTTATTCCCCAGAGCTGAGAGTTTAATGGTGTTCAGAAGCTGCTCTCCGTCTCTGCTGTGTCCAAACTTCTTAAAACACAGGTCAGATGTAAAGGTGGACCACGTATCTGGACAACAAAAGTACCACACTAAAGTACTACATCCAGAAAACTTACTTACTGCAGACCTCCCTGTTGTTTTGGTACGTCACAAAAATCCTTTGAAGACATTTCCCCCTTGTTTGATTCATTATATCAAATGAAAGAACGGGACGTTTAGATTCTGTAACAACAACTCTTCAATAAATGTAACTAAAATCTAATATTGATGTCAAACCAACCTACATCCAGACAGTCGGCAGAAAAAGACCCAAATATTTTAAAAAGCTAAAAAAAAAACGTAGCTAATATATACTGTTATCATATTGATGACTGTATCAGATATTTATGAATGTACTACAGACTGAGCAGCTGTTGCAGTATTTACTGTCTACTGTCTACTGCAGAACAAACACAGTCATACTTACATACAGAGGAGCACATGGGCGGCCATCTTGGAAGGGTCATGACCTGTGGGTTGGGCGGTTCCTCAGCCTACTTCCTGTCACTTCCTAAGGAAATGGAAAACACACACACACACACAGAGAAATGATTGTCAGTAGGTTCAGAAAGAATGAAAAATGTATTTGTCAGCAGGTTCAGAAAGAATGAAAAATGTATTTGTTTCTGGACATGTTTTTCTCCTCTCTCTCCCTCCTTTATTCTCACTGTCAATAAAACACACACACACACACACTCTTATGTAACATTAGACACTCACGCAGCATGTTGAGTGAGCGTGTTCACAGCCCTCCTGCACAGCGTTGCTCATTCCCAGGTGCACGGCTGCACCCGAGCCCGTTCCATTCCACGGCAGCCATTATACTGTGATCAATTATACATGCTGTAATTATTGACAGTGCCGTGACAGCAAACACCTCGGCTGGAATGCTGCAATGCAGTGTTGACGCTGGAGGCGGACGAGATAAACGCTCATACAGGAGTTGTAGCCTGACATCAGTGATAACGCGGCGGCGGCTACAAGTGTTGTGTTCAGTCTCCAGGTGCAGAGTGGAGGTTAACGCACGTCAGATCTTTGTTTTCCCTCCAACTGACTTTATATCCTCTGGAGGTCCCTGCTGTTTTCAAAACTCAGGCGATGAGACGCTATGAAGCCTGTAATTATGAGGCAGCACAGGCTGTACCAGCAGAGAGCAGAGAGCAGGTCTGTCTCAGCAGCAGCAGCAGCAGCAGCAGCAGCCTCAGCAGCCTCAGCAGCAGCCGCTCTCTCATGATCTTAAATGCACTTTAATGTAACAACAGTGGTTCATAGGAACCACTAATGTGGCTCTCTCCATTCCCTCCCTGCCTCTCTTCACTCGGGGCGGGTATTATCATAGTAATCAAGCTGAGACCCGGCTAACAGGATCACTCTCTAAATCATCATGTAGAAATAATCCCCTCCTTCATATTTGATTATTCTAATAAATCTTTTTAAACTGCCATTCAGTCACACAGAAATGGCGCTCGTCTCCTCGATCCATCACAGCTGGGACGAACGCTGCAGAGCTGGGGGAAAAAGAAATAGGAGAGGGGGGTTAGAGGGGTGCGATTTATTCGGTTGAGACTGTCATGTCTGCTCTATTTGCTGCAGCTCTCAAGTTCAATTTTTTTTCCTTTTTTTTTCCTGGCGAGCAAACAGAAAAGTCTGTCCTTCCTGGTGAAAGTGTGATTGCTCTGCACAACTCTTTCCATCCTGTCCTCCATTACTGACCTCACGTCTCACCGCCGCCCCAGGTCGCGCAGGACAAGGTGTTCCTTCATCCTGCAGACACTCACATTCACAAGGACAGTTCGTGGTCGCAGGAATTTCAAGAGGCCAATTTGCCGAAGCCGGTCCGCCCACTCTCCAGTCTGGCAGGGAGCGTGTACATTCATATGCACGGCGCAGCACATCTCTCTTAATCGCTTTCCATCTCTTTCTCGACACAAACAGAAAACATCAGGGCGCACGCAGGCAGCACCGGCCTGATTACACAGGATTTTTCCGGAGACTGCAGAAAGGAGCGGCCCTGAGTCATCGCTTTGAAATTGTTTCCTTTTTTATTCAAATTTACAAAAAAAGAAGAAAAGTACAACGGAAATAAATACACTTTGTTCAGCACGCAATTGTGGAGTGGTATCAACATCGTGCATGAGCAATGAAGTGGCTGGAGGGGGCGCAGAACTGCTGGGGGTCGGAGGGGGCGCTCAAGGTCAACAGCAATGCAAACAGAGTTTTTTATAGGTTGAAATGTAGAACTACAAGCCAGATTTTATATCAACACTTCTGTGTACGCGTCCCTCAGATTAGGAGAAGCTTCAGGAATGAGACGAAGCACCGTCTGAGATCACGCCTGTTTTGACACCAGTTAGAAAAGCAAAACTTCAGCATTTGATTCCCCTCAAAACAAACCATTTTCCCAATCACACCTTTGATTCAGCGTGTGTGTGTGTGTGTGTGTGGAGGGGGGGTTATAATCACCCCGGCGTGGAGCTTCAGTCGACGCAGCACTCCCAGAACTTTGAACAAGACGAATCAACAGAATCAAGGATTTGATTTGAACCCATCTGTCGGAGCAGAACTTTGGATTAAACCAATCAGCAGATGAAACACCTGCAGCCAATCAGGACGGTGGAGTAAACAGTGTTAATTAAAGCGGCATCAAAGGTCATGTAATTGCCTTTGAACATCAGTAACTGGTTCATTAAAACCACTCTATGCTGTGGGTGTTTGAACACAGGAAGTTGGACCGTTGGACGTGAGGTCTCCTGAGAACACGGTCCGACGACGGTTTGCCAGGTCGTACTTTAGGCAGCTGCTGGTTAGTACTACTGTATATATATTACAGTAGTGTAGTACTACTGTAGTATAACGTGTTATCAGATGGATCTATTTGAAAACTGACGTCAACAGAAAACTGTTCAACAGAACTTTGACTAAAAACGAGTCGAGGGAAAATGGTTTCAATGAAAGCATCAAAAACATAAATCTATATATTTTAGGTCAGAATGTTTTCAATTCAGTTTTCAATCTTAATGTTTGGTCACTTGTTTCCTAGAAGTAATCTAACTTTTTCCAACTGGTTCTTTGTGTTTCACAACAATAAACGGCTTCTAATCATAACTTCAATCTTGGTTTTCTCCACCTTAAGATTTCACTCTAACCTTTAGGCTTGGGTGAAAACTACAAACTTGTTGTGTTTCCTGCTCCAGTGATCACCTCGTGGTAACGTCAGGCCGTCCTGGATCTCAGAAAGTGCAGCGTTATTACAAAAAAACATAAAAACTGCACAGGAGCAGACGTGTCCTTTGGGGTTGAAATGGAAACTGGAGTTGAGTTATTGTTTACCGGCCAAAAATCATTACTCACACCCCCGTCTCCCCCCTCCTCCCTCGTCTCCCCTGAGGTTCTGCACCCCCCCCACTCTTCTCCCATCATTGCTCAGTAATTGTACATCGGTCCTGACACTATGGCACAAGTGTGTGGCCCAGGTCCTGTGATTGGTTCAGAGGTGAGTGTGGGTTTCGTACCCGTCAGTGTGTACCAGCTGACATCTTGGTTTTTCTACGTGTCGACAGCAGCCGACCCTAACAACGCGACGTGGGCGGCGGTCAGACACGAGAGAAGCTGCAGCTCGACTCTACAGTGGAACTAGTGATAAAGGTGACGTTCCTGTGATGGCACATCAAGAGGTGACCCCCGGGTCAGAGCAAACTGAAAATGTTTCAGTGATAAAAATATAAAACACACATTTGTTGTCTTTAGGCTGCACTGTCAGAACAGAACAGTCAACACAGAGTTTAGAAGATGGGCAGAAATGAATCAAATCAAAGGGAGACCTTATTAAGCATGATGAAAAACAAGCTACAAAGGGTAGAAATGTAGCTGATGGAAAGCTAAAAGTTAGCTAAAAATAATTAGAACAAATTGTCCCAGGACTGGACCTCAGGACTAATTAACATAATCGAGGGACAAATCGTTAAATAAAGAATAATTAGAATTAAAATAGTAAAGATTCCTTCCTTGATTGTGGGCTTTATAATGTGGGTCACATAATGTGGGCCACGTCAACCGTGTGCTTCATGACTGGGCAGCGACCTGTGGTTAGTTCAGACAATGCAACACTGAAGACAACACAAACTTCATCACATTTCACTTTGGACTTCTCCAGAACTTTCCAGAACATTTCAACCAAATCTCAGGCCCAGCAGAAGAGTTTCTCCTCCTGGACTGGATCTCCATCAAACTGGTTCCTGGTTGGACCAGGTGAGTTCACAGGCGTTTCTGTGAATAATGTTTTGCACAACAAACTTCAGCCCGAGGCCACATATATAATTGAATTCCCGGCTTGTCCATCTCATGTGAGAGCAAACACACACACACACACACACACACACACACACACAGAAGCACCAGACCTCTTCACTGACCAACTTCACACGTGTTGGACACAGGATCTTGGTTCTAGTCCAGATCTGCAGGAAAGTCCAGCTCCGTGAATCCACGTCTACTCTAGCGTACATGAGGACATGTAAGTTGTTGTTTTTTATATATATTTTCTTTTTTTTTCTCATTTAATATACTCTCTTTCAGCAGTAATATTCAGTTGTATTTACAATTGCGATGATTTTACACACAGTTAAACATTTGTATTTCATTTACAGCTTATAAAACAAGTGAAATCCTGGACTTTACTCATCATCACTGAACATCACACCGTAGAAAAGTGCCTTCCAGATCCAAACCGCAGCTCATTTCCATCCTGACCCTCCCCCAGGACCGAGCACCTGACCTGGGAACGCACCGCGGTCTGGCTCCACCATAATACACGTGAGGGAACGTCTACGATTGGGCAGTTTGAGCCTTCAGAGACAGAGGGCGCTGCAGTCCGTCGTCAATGTTCTGCTCTAAAAACACTATGAGAGACATTGGCTACATCCATACGACGCCCCCTGCTGCCTTAGTAAAACGTAAAACAAACTATTTTATGTGAAACAGACAAAATCGTAACACGCAGCTGGGGACCTCTAGTGGCTTGAATGGGAAGGACTGGTGCTTAAAAAACGTGTTTCCTGTGGTTTAGACAAAAATGCAAAGGCAAAGACGCAAAGAGGCAAAGACTCGCATCTAACAGAGGACGGACGGGACCGAGCTCGGTGGACACGTCAATCTGGTCTCATCTGGTGTTTTGGTGTAATCCAGGTACGGAACGTGGGGGGGCCGGGGGGGGGGCGGGGTCTCAGCCGAGACGCTTCTCCGACTCTTCCAGGTCAATCGTATGAAGATGTGAACAGTAATCGTCTCCCCCGGTCTGTGGTGCGGTCTGTGCTGGGTCTGTGGTTCCAACATATTTCTCCTGGATGAAAACACAAACAGAACCCACTTCCTGGGGGGGGGGGCGTGGGTTTGAGGACAGTATGGATGCAGCCAGGGTCTGGACGTGTTCAGTG